AGTGGAACTGTTCTTTAGCTGCACTGATATTGTAGTCATTAGCCACATGCCACTGTAAAACACTTGACTGTGAATAGTACAACTGAGGATGGAAATTTTCATTGTTTTCCATTTTAATTCATTTTCATTTTAATAACCACTTGTGACTAGTGGCTGCCATATTGCACACTGCATCTCTAGACCAATGAATTCAAAGTTTTCTACCTCTTCTTGAACCTTCTACCTCATGGGGAAATGTTTACAGTATTTTTTTTTCCTCTCCAGATTAATTTTGTTTTGAGAAACTAACAGGAATGGAGGGACCTAAAGAGTCTCACAAAAAAATAAAAACAAAGCACAGCAGTTCATTTGGACCTAAAAATTGCTTTTGATAAAGATACAAAGCAAAGTCTGCTCTGCACTACTCTTCTGCACCCAGAATATATGCTGAGACAGGATAAAGAGCAGGGCAACATGCAAAGCTTGGAAACAGCCCTTTTGTCCTAAACGTGTAACCCCAGCGATCTATGTTGAGCCAGTACAAAGGCTGTGTCTCTTCCTGCTGTTCTCTTTTACAAACCCTGATACTCAACTAGATCCTTTAATCTTATCATAAAACACAGGCAGACCTGGATCTATATCTACATCCATATCTTCCAAAGCATATTTGTCTGGGAACTCTGAAAGAGAACTCTCTACTTCACTGCAGAACTTTCATCCTTGCTTAAAAAGCAGATCTGTATATGCCAAGGTAGATTTCAAGAGTTGGAAGAAAGAAAATTCTAGAAATTGAAGGCCATACTTATCACTACAAAAGCTTCCCTTTGATGAGCTCCTTCTGCTAAGGCTGTGCCGTCCCTATGACCCACATTATCTCGTGCACTTTTCACAACAATTTTCTGAGAACCCCTATATCACATTTTAATGATGACGTGACTCTGGTTTAAGATGGTAGATAATATTTTACCCAAGAAAGAGAAAGTTGAACAGTGACTCAAACCCAAGACAGTGTGTCTACAGAAGCCGTGTTCTTCAACACTAGTCTACATTCCAGTGCCTTGGACCGTGCTATAAAGGGCTCAAAAAAGCCCTTTCTGTTGGAGAGTTCCAAGTAGAAAAATATTTCTCCTCTTGTGCTGAAATTTGGCTTCTTGTAACCAACCCTCCTCCCCACCCCCAACATAAACACGCATCAGCCCTTGTTCTGTCCTTTGAGGACACAAGGGACTAGCCAGCTCCCGCTTCCCTAGGATTTATACATGGTCATCCTGTCCCTCTCAACCCTGGCTTTTTCAGCTACAGGATAATCACACAGTCCACACTCATTCCTCCTACAAGATAGTTTCCAGACCTTCTATTGCCTGATCACTTCTTATAAAGATAAGAATCTGCCTGTCCTTTTTAAGGAGTCTTTCTAGAATAAGTCGTTAATTCTGAAATTTTAAAAGCCCTACTGTCAGAACATGACCCTTCATGTTTAACCTAAATTGTCATAAACTACAATCCAAAATAATTATCCTTAGGTCTATCCTCAAGGGAGACATTAACCAGCCAGTTGCCTGCATGAGAATACTTCACATTTTTAAAGGTTATTATTTGCTCCCTTTTTCCTCTCTGGCATAAATATTTCCAGTTCTAGAAAATTTATCTTCATAAGGTTTACCTCCTCCCCCATCAGTAATTTCTACAGTGCCTCTTTCATCTAGATCCAGGTTGCTACAGAATTTAAGACAGGATTCAATGCGGAGGTCAAGCTCAAGCTTAAGCAAAGGGAAGCTATTGGCCTGGGCTCATGGCTACGTTTTGTTGTTAGGATTGCAACAAAATAGCAGCTACTTTTTAATGTGTGCCTACTATGGGCCTGTCACTGTGCTGGGTGCTTTCTGTAATGATTTCTAATCCACGATTCCCTTTGGAAAGACTTCGACTCACATTTTACAAATAAGGTCACGGTTAGAGAAGATAAGTCACTTGTCAAAGTCACAGAGCCGGTGAGTGGCATTGAACCCAGGTATGTCTAATTCTAAAGCCTGGGCACTTTCCTCCACACAGAAGATGTAATGGGTCTTTTCCAAAGTACAGAAAATATCCACCTGCCCTCAGACCACCATGAGCCAATGGGAAATACACAACCCTAAAGAATCACATGTCCTTCCACCAAACAATGCAGCATTTGGCTGTGCCAGTGTAAGTCTCTTACATACGGCAATGCAAAACCCTCACTTAACCCATACTCTGGTCATTATTACCCTAGACTCATTGCCTCAGCATCTCAACCAGCAGCTCTAATGGCCTTTTAGATGGAAATTTAAGTCATTTAGCAACACACAAAAAAGTGTTGGATAAAAGTCCAAAAGCATTTCAAGCTTGGCCCATGGCCCTTGCTCATAAAAAAAAAAAAGAAAGAAAAGAAAAAGCTAAGAATTGATGGAAAGAGGGTGGAAGGAAGGACTTTGTGGAAGGCAAAGAGAGTTAAAGTGATTGCAATAGAGTGTGCAATTAATGAATATTTGTCCAGTAAACAAATAAGATGGGCTATGCTGGTTTAAAAGAAAAGAACTTACCAAGTTTCTCTTCTTCATAATCATTTTTATTCAATGCGCTGGCCTACATTGCAGATTCACACATTCTTATTTAGGAAACTAATTTGAATAAAAAAGCATACTCAAAAGAAGTGTTTGTTTCCTTTTTTTGTTGTTGCTGTTGTTTTGGGGTTTTGTTTGTTTTTGCCTAACCAGGGAGTAGATGCCCTATGTAGCTGTTACATGGATAGTTGGTAAAATATCAAGTATGAATATAATTAGGATGTGATGGGGATGTGTGGATAGGAAGTTCTTGATTAAATACATAGCCAGTGCTTTCTAGGTCCCCAGACCTGTGCTCAGTCCTACAGAAATGTTTCTCAGTTCAGTGTTCCCTGCCATAATCCCTCTCCAGATTTCGCAAAGACTTTCTGTTCTCATGCAGGAGGCAATCACATGGGATCATGTTGATGCATTTGATCGTTGGGCTAAAATCTTTCTGGGAAAAAAAAAAGTTAGAGAACCTCTATAGGATAAGTATTCTAAATACTGAATCTAATTGACATACGTAGCTAACTCTGAAGGAGAAAGTATAAGAATAGCATGGGCATAGGAAAATGCCAATTTGCAAAGTGACTGATTAAAAACCAAATACCTCTCAACTATTTTCTTGAACTATATTCTGGTGTATTTTCTAACTAAAGAGTGGTATGAATGACTTCATTCCCTGTATATATCATTCCCACATGCATCCAGAGCATATTAGGTCAATATTATAATCATCTAAGGTTTAACCATGTCTTCTTATCTACTCAAAAATTTCTCAACCACCTTTGACAACAGCCCTTGCCTCTGTTGCCTTGATTGTCCATACTGATAAATAGTCATAAGAGAGATGACTAAGACAATTTAGCCAAGTAAGAACTGCCTCACAATAGCATAATCTCCTCCATATACTGTTGGTATCTAATCCTTTCACTCTTTAAGGCTCAGCTTGAATTCTGTCCTTTCCAACTACCACTCTTTGACAATTCTTTTCATTTTTTTTTCAAATTCCATACCACAAAATCAGTAATTTGCATTCCTTCCTGCTTTGTTCCTTAAGTATTGAATGTGTGATTCCATTTTATTTATAATTCTATTGTTAAGGCCTCTGAGGGTAGGCACTTAGTCTTATGTTTATTTCTATCTCCACAGAACTCTGATTATTGTGGAAAACTCAGTGTATTAGTCTGTTCAGGCTATTATAGAATCACAGACTGTTATTTTAGCTTAAACAACAAAAACTTATTTTCTTACATGTTCTACAGGATAGAATTCCACCACCCAAGGTGCTGGAAAATTCAGTTCTTGTGAGGCCTCTCTTCTTAGCTTGCAGATGGCTGCCTTCTCACTGTATCCTCACATGACCTCTCCTCTGTGCAGGAGCAGAGAGGGAGGGAGAGGGAGAGTTCTGTCTCATGGTGATCCTCTTCTTCTAAGGACACTAGCACAAAGATATTCGGGACTCACTCTTATGACCTCATTTAAACTTAATTACCTCTCTAAAGGCCCTATCACCAAATACAGTCCCATGGGAGGTTAGGGCTTCAATATATGAATTTGGGGGGAAGAGAGGACAGGATTTAGTCCATAACACTCAGTGAGAATAGTGTAAGTACTTGTAGATTGGAGAAGACCTCAGAGGCTCATGGACATTCTCCTGCCCTTGATCATAGTTTGGACAACTGGTTTAGAAACATTCTTTCAGATTCTCCAAAAAACTTGACTTTTTAAGGTTTTAGAAATAAGGAGAAGAGAAACTGGGACTCAAAGAGGTAGAGTATTGTTCCAATGGCCACACAACAATTAAGAAGCTGGGCTGGAATTAAAACTCGCCTTGCCTTCTAGCACGTTCATCATTTGAACCTCTGTCTCCCAGAGTGGAGGGAAACCAGCAGATGCTGCTAAATATGGACTGGAGGACCAGTAATAAGAGGCAGGAGTTACTGAACACATCTACTGCGACTATGGCCTCATAGCATTACAATGACTCACTCAGTGGGCTCGAGTAAATACTGAAGGGATTCGTAAATCTATGAAAGATTTCTACTTATGTTTTTACTTATATCATTATTTTAACCCCAACATTAGCCATTCACTATACAGAAAGAGAAATAGGACAAAGAAGGGTTATATGACTTACCCAAAGGCACAGAGTTAGAGCTGAGATCCAAATCCAGGTCTGGTCTATACTATTCCAAAGTTTTGCCCTTTTCTGTATTCCCTGCCATCTCCCTGTATTTCTGGAAGTTGAAAAGTGAGTGAAATCATTCCTTCAAGATGGCAATATTCTTCTAGAGACTAGTTGGTATCAACACCACAGTGAATACTGAAGGAGTATCAGAAGAGCTTCAAACGCAGGAGATAGAACATCAAAATTCACTTGGAATGATGATACTCAATAGAGTCGATTAGCAGTGGATACTAACAGGCTTGCTTTCCCTCCTTTCCTTGCAGAAGAGAATTCCTTCGGGAAGATCAGGAACACACTGATCTGGATTCTCCTCTGTGCTTCCACATCCTCACTTCTGCCTGAGACTGAGACACCCTAGGAGTGAGTGCACAGAAACGCCCCAGCCAAACCCACCTCCGCCATGGGGGCCGTGACCCGGCTGTTGGCCGGCATCCTCCTAGCCTCACTCACCCTCACTACCGAAGGTGGGGTCCTCAAGAAAGTCATCCGGCACAAGCGACAGAGCGGGGTCAATGTCACTCTGCCGGAGGACCAGCAGCCGGTGGTGTTCAACCACGTCTACAACATCAAGCTGCCCATCGGGTCCCAGTGCTCCGTGGATCTGGAATCAGCCAGTGGGGAAAAGGACCTGGTCCCGCCATCAGAGCCCAGCGAGAGCTTCCAGGAGCGCACGGGCGACGGGGAAAACCAGATCATCTTCACACACCGCATCAACATCCCTCGCCGGGCCTGCGGTTGCGCCGCGGCTCCTGACGTCAAGGAGCTTCTGAGCAGACTGGAGGATCTGGAGAATCTGGTGTCTTCCCTGCGGGAGCAATGCACCACAGGAGCTGGCTGTTGTCTCCAGCCCGCGGAAGGTACGCCCAGCCTCTCACTGTCCAGATGCGAGAAATGATGAGCACGGCCAGATCCGCCACTTTGTTTCCAAAACAGGTTCCCCGGGGAGCTGGCCTCACAAAGTGTTCACTGAGAAGAGATTTTATGGTCAAATAAATGTGCAGAATGTAAACCATCTCTGTTCTGCTCTTGGAGAGTCTTGGTGACGAATGTTTCTCAGAGGAGTTTCTAGACCTCTGAGAAGCCTTGCTTGGAAAAACCTTGTTTCACCTTAATGACCAGTTTCTAACATTTATTTGACCGTGAGATCTACACATTCTCTACCCCAAAACCTATGAACCGTATCATGAGATTCCTGACCCAAGATCACTCTCTGAAAGGTGCTAATATGGCCTCATCACATCACTGTCCAGGCTGGAAAACTAAGGCCCAGAAGGAGGGTGGGATTCCTCACGGTCCTGCCACAAGTGATCGAGTGAGGATTTGAACCACAGTATCTCACACCCTGGCTGTTCTCACAAAGACACAGCGCTGCCTGTGGTAATACAAAGTCTGGGAACTGGGAAAAACGTTCCAGTTTATGGCAGCAACAACCATCATCACAATATACATTGAGCCCTCTTTCATGCATCAGGCACTGTAATTCATTACCTGATTGAACCCTTCCAACAACCCTTTGAGATAAGGTTTAATACTCCCATTCTACAGATCTAACTGCTGAGACTCAAAGAAGTTAACCAATTGGCACAAATAAGAGTAATAAGAGAAAGAGTAATAAGAGAAAGGATCTCTGAGTGGGCTTGTGGTCTCCAGAGCTCACGCTCCCCCACCCCCACCCCCACCCCGTGATAACCTGTATCCTGTGCATCTTTTTCTCAGGGATTTTGCCACTTTAGAATTGTCTTCATCTTCGCTGCCTAGACTTGACAGGGCTATAGGAGTTTTGGCAACTTCAAATCAGAGCTGAACATCTTTATTTCTGCCACCCTGACCAAATGACCAGAAAGCACTTTGATAAGTTATTTCAAGAGTAGACCTAATCATTGTAGGTGGAGAGGACTATAGGACATGCTCTAGGTGTCCAAGGGGGGAGAAAATGTTTTCTTTAGGCACAAATTACTTTATCTTCCATTTCCATCAACTTCCTGGCAAAATGCAGATGGGAGTTACACAATAGAATTAATGCTGAAGAATGGGTTGAAATAGTTGTTGAATGCAGTCCTGTCCAGGAGAAATATAACGTGAGCCAGATATGTATTCTTAACTCTTCCAATAGTCACATTAAAGAAATGAAAAAGGAACAGGTGAAAATAGTTTTAATCAATTATTTTATTTAACTTAGTGTAACCAAATTATCCACTTTTCACCATGGGATCAACACAAAACTTATTAATGGATATTTTATATTCCTTTCTTTAAACTAAGTCTTTGAAATCCCGTATGTATTTGACATTTATAGCAAATCTCAATTCAGACTAACCACAATCCAATTGTTTAGTAGCCACATGTGTCTGGTGGCCACCATACATGAAAACGTATGAGTCTCACCTTTCAAACTATTTGTTTTAATTGCCTTCTTCCCTGCTGTTAGGAAGGAGATAAAACATAGTAATACAACTGTATTTGGGTACAGAAAACGGAGTGAGCTTTGTTTCTTCTCCTTGGCTCCATGGAGACTACACCAGTCACTCCTGCAAGCTGAGCCAACACACGATGTAGACTTCAAAGAGATGGAGTCATGTCAGCCCTGACCATGTCTTCCTCAGATTCACCCACCCCTGCAGCCTTCTGGATGGGGAGGGAAAAAGCTAGACGCACATGAGTGTTGTGGGGGTGAAGCCACATTATAAGCTGTACCGACAGAATTAGAAAGCCGTTCCTATCCTGCCTCATTTCAATAATGGAAAATCAGAAAGTTCGGTCACGTAAACCCACATACCGACTTGAGTCAACCCAAAAAACTGCAAGAGAAGATCACAATGAGAACAACAGTAGGTCTGTAATGTCCTCACTTAACCCCGATACACCCCAGGGAAGCAGGCGATTGGTCCCACCTGACCAATGAAGAAACGGATCTCTGAAGCATCTAACTCCCTTTCCAAATGCAGCACAGCTACTGAGCCAGGATCAGAATTGAGTTCAGTTCAACAAATATTTCTTGTGTGAAATAATGACTCTCTTATGTGCCTGACCTTGGCGAGGTACAAGAGAAACTATGTAGCCCAGCATAATACATTCCACAAGGCAATGATTTGTAATCACGGGGGTCATGGGAATACTTGAAAATTCGATAAAAACTATGGATCCTCTCCCAGGAGGGGTTGGGGGTGGGTGGAAAACACACACACACACACACACACACACAGCTACACATGGAAGTACACGCTCTTTACATTTGAGAGGACAGGTTAAGAATTCGCACCTACTCTAATGGGATGTCAGTTGCCTCTGATTTCACACATGAAGCCACTAGTTTTCAAGCCAGATGGGAGCTGAGGGTGCCACCATCTTGCGGCTGCATTGGAATCTGGGTCGGGCAGGTGGTAACAGAGAAAGCAGCCGCTTAGGCTCAGGGGTCAGCCTCTGCGCTCTCGTTGCAGGCCGCCTGGACACCAGGCCCTTCTGCAGCGGCCACGGGAACTTCAGCGCGGAAGGATGCGGCTGTGTGTGCGAACCCGGCTGGAAAGGCCCCAACTGCTCAGAGCCCGAATGTCCTGGCAACTGTCACCTGCGAGGCCAGTGCCTGGACGGGCAGTGTGTCTGCGACGAGGGCTTCACGGGGGAGGACTGCGGCCAGCTGGCCTGCCCCGGCGACTGCAACGACCAGGGCAAGTGCGTGAGCGGGGTCTGCGTGTGTTTCGAAGGCTACACGGGGGCCGACTGCAGCCGGGAGGTGTGCCCGGTGGCGTGCAGCGAGGAGCACGGCAGGTGCGTGGACGGCCGCTGCGTGTGCCAGGACGGCTTCGCGGGCGACGACTGCGCCGAGCCGCTGTGCCTCAACAACTGCCACGGCCGCGGGCGCTGCGTGGAGAACGAGTGCGTGTGCGACGCCGGCTTCACGGGCGAGGACTGCGGCGAGCTCATCTGCCCCAACGACTGCTTCGACCGCGGCCGCTGCGTCAACGGCACCTGCTACTGCGAGCAGGGCTTCACGGGCGAGGACTGCGGCGAGCTCAGCTGCCCGAACGCCTGCTCGGGCCACGGCCGCTGCCGGCAGGGCCAGTGCGTGTGCGAGGCGGCCTTCGCCGGTCCCGACTGCAGCGAGAAGAGGTGTCCCGCCGACTGCCACCAGCACGGCCGCTGCACGGACGGGCGGTGTGAGTGCGACGCCGGCTTCGCGGGAACCGACTGCGGCGAGCTCCAGTGTCCCAGCGGCTGCAGCGGCCACGGCCGCTGCGTCAACGGGCAGTGCGTGTGCGACGAGGGCCGCACCGGGGAGGACTGCGGCCAGCTGCGGTGCCCCAACGATTGTCACAGCCGGGGCCGCTGCGTCCAGGGCAAGTGCGCGTGCGAGCCGGGCTTCCAGGGCTACGACTGCAGTGACATGAGCTGCCCCAGCGACTGCCACCAGCACGGCCGCTGCGTGAACGGCATGTGCGTCTGTGACGACGGCTACGCCGGGGAGGACTGCCGGGACCTGCGCTGCCCCGGGGACTGCAGCAGCCGCGGCCGCTGCGCGGACGGCCGGTGCGAGTGTGAGCACGGCTTCACCGGCCCCGACTGCGCGGAACTCGCGTGCCCCGGCGACTGCCATGGCCAAGGCCGCTGTGTGAACGGGCAGTGCGTGTGCCACGAGGGCTTCATGGGCGCCGCGTGCAAGGAGCGGAGGTGCCCCGGCGACTGTCACGGCCGGGGCCGCTGCGAGGATGGGCAGTGCGTCTGCCGGGAGGGCTTCGCGGGCCCCGACTGCAGGCTGCGCTCCTGCCCCAACGACTGCAGCGGCTGGGGCCAGTGCGTGGAGGGCCGATGCATCTGCAGCGAGGGCCACGCCGGGGACGACTGCTCCGACGGTGAGTCCACTGACCATTGGTTCAGGAGCGGGCCCTGGTGCGGGTTGGAGAGCTAGGTGTCCTCTTACCCCTGCCCACGTGCGCCGCGCACACACACACCTTAGCAGGGGCCCTTGGTTATTCACCTGTCACAGGGCTACCTGTTGAAGGCTGGGAGGCTCAGGGGGGTCATAGAATTGTCCCAGGAACACTTAGCTCGTACATTCTAGAGCTGTTATTGAGTCTACCCATCTGGTTACCGAGTGTAATACCCAGTAACACCCGTGGTGAGGTAGATGAAATGAAGACAGCCTTTTTGCTAAATATGAGCCCTCTCATCTCCTCCCCACTGACACGGAACCAAAAATAACCTAAATCTCTCTATTTGGAGGGAAGCAAAAATTCAGCTCAATTGAATGGACAGTGAGATTACCTAAAACAAACTGTTTTACATGCACACTCAGAGAGTAAATGCTAATTAATCACTTACGAGGTGGACCCATCTCTTAACTCATTATTCGTAACTGTCTTCGATCCCGAGGATTATGAGCTCCTTCAAGGAGCGCTAATCTGACAGCACAAGGCACAGTATACAGTAAGTGCTCAATAAACATGGATTGAGTGAAAATACAACAAAGAACGATAATGCTCATGTTCACTGAGGGTCTTCTTTGTACTCCTCTCATCCATCCAGACTTATACCTGTTGTAATAGAGAATTTCTGCCCCGATTGAAGGTATCATTGATATGAATAAATAAATGTGTTTAATGGGCCCAAGGCAGGGAAGCCTGGTTGGAAAGAACACCAGGCTGGCAGGGAGGAGGTGTAAGTCCCAAATTTGATGAGATAAGCAAAGTTGGGCCAGTCCCTCTGCCCCTCTCACATCTAGAAAATGAAAGAATGGGACCAAATGAGCCCCAGATACCTTTCCAGCACTAACAATGTATGACCTCAAGTTCAGAGCAGGGAGCCAAGTTCAGGCTTCCTGTGCCCATGCAAATGGCCTGAATCTGAACTAAGGTCCAGGGAGTAGAGAAGTCGGAGAGGTCAGGTCACAAAGAAGCCTGACGGCCACACTGCACACTCAGCACTTTAGCCTGAAGGTCACCAAAGGTTTTCAAGTTGGATCATAGCAGAAGGTCCTTGATGAGTTTTTCATTTTAAGAAATGGAAGCTGGATTTTAGGGCTCTGTGACTGGTAATGGAGGGGACAAGTGAAGGGAAGCAGCCTAGAGAGAGAATTTATAGAGGACCTTACTGACACCACCTGACCCAAGCTGTCCTTTCGTCCTCCTGCCAGTGTCCCCTCCCAAAGACCTCATCGTGACAGAAGTGACGGAAGAGACCGTAAACCTGGCCTGGGACAACGAGATGCGGGTCACGGAGTACCTGGTCATGTACACACCCACCCACGAGGACGGCCTGGAAATGCAGTTCCGCGTGCCTGGGGACCAGACGTCCACCACCATCCGGGAGCTGGAGCCTGGTGTGGAGTACTTTATCCGCGTCTTTGCCATCCTGGAAAACAAGAAGAGCATTCCCGTCAGCGCCAGGGTGGCCACGTGTGAGTGCCCAAAACCCATCCCCACCCCCACAGCCTCTACTGCCCTTGGCTTGCCCAGTGCATGACCTGCCCCCACGGGTCACTGCCTCACCTTTACCCCCATAGCTGCATAGCTGTCCTTTCATCGTTGCACCAATTAAGACCCCGGGATCCAGTTAAGCCCACTGAACTTTTTTAAAAGAAACCCCTCATCTAGTAATTCATTTAACCCACCGTAACTCTATGAGATAGGGACAATTATTAACCCATTTTACAGATGAGAAAACTGAGACTAAATGGTCAGCAGCTCCTCCCAAATCAGACTCAATAAGTTGTGGAGATGAGATTTTAACCCTGGAAGTCTGGTTGCAGGTTTATGCTCTTACCCATTCTATTCTACTATTTCCTTTCTATGGAGCTCATTGTCCACATATTTAAAAAAAAAAAAAAAAAAGTAGAAACATTAGGGTTCAAGTTATTCCTTTAAGAGTCCAACAACAGTGGGGCGCCTGGGTGGCTCAGATGGTTAAGCGTCTGCCTTCGGCTCAGGTCATGATCCCGGCATCCTGGGATCGAGTCCCGCATCGGGCTCCCTGCTCCTTGGGAGCCTGCTTCTCCCTCTGCCTCTCTCTCTCTCTCTGTCTCTCATGAATAAATAAATAAAATCTTAAAAAAAAAAAAAAAAAAAAGAATCCAACAACAGTATAATTCCCTTCATACCTAAAAAGCAAGTTGTGGCTAGAAATTGGTCCTTATTTTTGCTTAGCAAATATAACATTGGCTGCCATGTATTTTTTTTTTAAGATTTTATTTATTTATTTGACAGAGACATAGAGAGCACAGATAGGCAGAGCGGCAGGCAGAGGGAGAGGGAGAAGCAGGCTCTCCGCGGACCAGGGAGCCAGATGCAGGGCCCAGTCCCAGGACCCTGGGATCATGACCTGAGCCGAAGGCAGCCGCTTAACCGACTGAGCCACCAGGTGCCCCTGGCTGCCACGTATTGAAATGCACAATGAGCCAGGAACCGTGCCCAGCGGTCGACATGCAACATATCACTCAGTCCTCAAAACATTCCCAGGAACAGGCATACTTACCTCTTCCTCCCGAGTGAAGAAGCTGAGGCTTGGGGCACTTTGTGCAACTTGCCCATGCACACAAAACTTGTAATGTGGAGCTTGGATTTGAGCCCAAGGTCCATCTGATTCCAAACCCTGGGTTCATATGGCTTCACCAGATGAAATTGCCAGGATTTAATCGTATGGTGGGTCCTAATACTAATTGTCACACTGCCTCGCAGTAAACAGCATCCCACAAGTAGTCGGAAATAGAATCCAGCTCTGATGGGGGTGGGGCACCCACCGGTGGGGTCTAGGGGAATCACCGCTGTGTCCACCGCCCCCCCCAACATGCAGCCATCCTTTCCTCTGCTCTTCCTGACAGACTTGCCTGCACCTGAAGGCCTAAAGTTCAAGTCTATCAAGGAGACATCTGTGGAAGTGGAGTGGGATCCTCTGGACATCGCTTTTGAAACGTGGGAGATCATCTTCCGGAATATGGTAAGGAGCACAGAGGAGCGGGCATATTTGACCTCAAGGATCTAAATGACGGTCCGAGGGCTCTACAGACTTTTATATCAACTTTATTTCCTTAGCTTCTGGTGGGGAACAGGGCTGTGGTTAGTTGGCCCCGACATGTTTGCATATATATTCTAAGTGATTTTAATAAGTCCGTAAGCATAGCCCTTAGGGCTGTGAGCTCAAATAGATGCTGAGCCGTCCCCTTGTTCCTCATAGTCTGGCAAATCTCTATTCAGAAGAGAACAAATGAGCTCTGTCTCCAGATGCCTCCAGGCATATCTGAGATGGAGTATCCCTTCTATCTGGGCCTTAGAGCTTATAAGAGGCAGGGAATTAGGTTCCGAGCCCAGGCACTGTCACTAACTAGCTGGGTGCCAATGGGGCAGGCACCCAACCTCTCTGATGCTCGCTTCTTGGTCTATCAAAGGAAGGATTGAATCTGTGGCTCTAGACTGCTTTGGCTCTCACATTCTGGCCCTTGACTTGAGTGTCCAAGGAGTGAATAGAGAGGTTTAAAGAGGGAGAAGCCAACTCAAGAAATGTCCTTATCCTCTGTGCGTCCTCAGCACCTGCCATGCTGATCTGCCGCCAAGGGAGAGCTTAGCGAAGGAGTGGATGCAGAAGGAGCGAGCCACAGAGAAGAAGAGGCTGGAACCTCCTTTAGGTCTTACCAAGGTGCTCCTATCTTTCAGAATAAAGAAGATGAGGGAGAGATCACCAAAAGCCTGAGGAGGCCAGAGACCACATACCGGCAGACTGGCCTTGCTCCTGGGCAAGAATATGAGATCTCGCTGCACATTGTGAAAAACAATACCCGCGGCCCGGGCCTGAAGAGGGTGACCACCACCCGTGAGTATCACCTTCAATAGCACGGACCCTCTGATAAAGCTGAGTGCACCCCATAGCGCCTCTGCTTGAAGATATTTCCTCTTCTATCGCTTCTGCATCAACTAGATTTTGCTACGTAAAAAACAAGCCCCAAACTTAGTGGCTTAAAACTATAGTTCTGCACATTGGTGATTTGGGGTTGGGCTCAGCTGGGCAATTCTGTTCTTGAGTGGGCTCGCTGATGCATCTGTGTGGGCTGGGGGCTGGCTGGCCTCAGGTGGCCTCAGTATGCTAACCTGGGCCTGATCACATGGCAGCTGAGCACTGTATCGCTCTGTCAAAGCACATCTCAAGGCCAGTCCAGATTTAAGGGGTGGGGAAACAGATCCAGCCCTTGATGAAAGGAGCCTCAAAGTAACATCTCAAAGGGGCACAGATACAGGAAGATCAATAAGAGAGACCATTATAAATAACCTACCACATCATCTAATCTGATACACCAGTCTTGTGAAAGAGGGTGGGAAAATACTATTGTTATTACTTTTCCAAGAGTAAAAACTGAGGCTTAGGGAAGTGAAATCAGTTTAACAAACATCACGTGGTGAACACTTGGGCCTCCACAGGGCCACAATTATCAGCGAGGATCCAGTTTTATAACTTTCACCCCCTTTACCACTAGCATTGACGAGGAACTGGTCTCTGTAGAATGTTCATCCTGTATCTCCAATAGGAACATAAATTAAATGTCATTCAATAATAAAGATGTCAGAACTTCTTGGGGGTAGAATAGAATTTGTCACTACTAGATCCTTTGGTGAGGGGGACAAAGAAAATCTGGATTTGGAGTTGTTCTACCAAGAAGCAAAATTTTAAACATCAATAAATAAATAAAATTATTTTGCATTGCCATTTGGGAAAACCTTTTTATCTTCTTCAAGATAGCATCTGTGCCAACTGTTTAAGGAATTGATTCTTTTTGGCAGGAGATTGTTGGAAAAGTTAAGTCTGTTGACTAATGACAAGAAAGAACATCTTGCATTTAAATATTTGCACATTTTGCCTAGCTCAGAGCCAACTCCTAGATTGTCTCCCCTATAGGCAAGTGTTTTCCATCATTCTGACACCATCCCTCTGTGGTAGGTAGAGAGCAGGTATCGACAGGAAAAAATCATTAGATCACCAGAAAGGCATAGAAAAGATCCAGCAAATGCTTACCTGCTATAGAGAAGGCACACCAAAACTACAAAATAAAATTTATCTACCCCTTGCTTTTTAATCTAATTCTGGGGATTAGCTGCTTTATTCTTCTTGCAGGACAAACATCCCAACACCTAAAGTTCCCTAATCACATAAATATCAACACTGAGAGGCAGACATTTACGTGTTCATTTTGCTGATAGCCAAACTTTATCCAGGTTTAAAGGACCTTAAAGTTTGGGTGAGAAAGCATTTTTGGCCCCTTCCCACTGGCATCTGTCTCTATCAGGCTGTATTACCAACCATTTCTGGCACCTGGATGCTTTTGAGAGGCGTTCACATTTACTGGAGCAGGAGTATGGGCTTTGGACCCAAACAGACCTGAGTGTGAATTCCAGCTTCACCGCTCACCATCACCTTGTGAAGTTCTACTTCTCTAAGCCTATTACCTACTATCAGGAACATGGGTTTATGGTGTCCTTGCCGGGTTGTCATGAGAGTTAAGACATGCATGACAGAGCACTGTGCTTGGCATGTTAGGAAGCCATGGCAGCACTTGCCTCCTCTATTCAAGGGTCCCAAATCTGGGGAGGGGGAAGAATCAGTGAGCTTGACTCAATCCCAACTTCTTAGGAAAGAGCTGCTTAAGGACAGTAGCAGGTGTGGTTTGGGTGCTTGCTGGCACCTGTAAGAACACGGAACAGGCAGCTGCACTGTTGAACTCTAGCTTTGTTTTCATTGTGAATTCTATGCGTTCATTGTCCGTCAGCTGAGACTGATGGGTTAACACTTAGAATTCAAAGAAAAGACTCTGCAGGTTTCTCATAGTCAGATAGGACTTATTCCTCCTTCCTGTTCCGTATATAACACTGAAGTTCCTTTCATTTGATATTGTCTCCTCAACCAAAGCTGAAAACACAAACTTAGCTATTTTTAAATTGAAGAAATAAACATTGGCTAAATGCCTTAATATCTTAATTTTAGGCATTTGCCAAATTCTTGGTCTGTTTTAATGTTTGCATTAAAATTGTTTTTATAATTAGAAAAAAAGAATTCAGACATAAATGACAAAGTCTGACGCTCTGCTGGAGATTAAAAGGGGTCAAAGACCCACTCTAAATAAATGAATTGAGACCTTATCTAAGTTGAATAACACAAACTGTAGAGAAATATATTACAGAACAGTGAAGAAAGTGCAAGGATTCTCTTATTTTTAATTGTGCTAAGACCACTTAGAATGAATTCTATCTACTCTTTCAATGAGTATAATTACCTATAGGCACTGTGTTGTCCAACACATCTCTAGAACTTACTCATCTTACATAAACTGAAACTTTATACTTGTTGGGGAGGGTGTATGTGTTCACCTGATTATAACAAGGGTCAAAGAGGACTCTCATTAGGAAGTGATATGTAAGTGGGGTTTTGAGGGATGAATAGGAGATTTTTTTAGAGGGGGAGGGGCAATCTCAGGAGGAAGACACAAAGGAAGAGCTAGTGCAGGGGCCAAGAGGTGAGAAATAGCATGCCATGCTTCCTGTCACAAAACAACAACACAACACACACGCACAACACGACAACACAAGGGGTGTGGGTGGGGCAGGAGGAGGACTGAGATGAAGGCACAAAGATGGCAAGGCTTGGAACAAGCTATGACTTTCTTCCTGAATTCTTGCCTCACAAGTAACTCTCTATACCTGGCCAAGCCAGGGGTGGCCTCACTTTTGGGCTCCATAATTCTGATGGAAAAGTTATCCATCCAGGGAGTTTTGCCTAATAAAAAGCCAGAGAGCCTAAACCAATATTTTTTATTTTTTATTTTTTTGTTTAAATTCAGTTAGCCAATTTATAGTACCTCATTAGTTTCAGATATAAATCAATGTTTTTTAAATGAAAAAGGCCCTAAGCATGTTTCTTCAACTCATGAGAACTGTAGTGATAATAATAACAGGGCAATGACCATTTATCATGTAACTGCCACGCTCCAGGCTCTGCGCTAGGTGCTTTGCAAGCATTCTCCTTTCATGTTCGAAAAAACAACAAACCCTGCAAGGTAGTTGTCATCATCCCTATCTAGAGCTTGTCAGATGGGAAATGGAGACACAGACAAAAGAAGTTCAGATGGTTAGTAGACACTGAACTATCCACACCTGGAACTAGATGGCTGTAAGCCCCTGTCTGCTCAGCCCCTGGCCCCGGCCCCAATCTCTGAAACCACTCTGCCGTCTGCCCGTCACAGGCTTGGACGCCCCGAGCCAGATCGAGGTGAAAGATGTCACGGACACCACGGCCCTGATCACTTGGTTCAAGCCCCTGGCCGAGATTGATGGCATTGAGCTTTCCTATGGAATCAAAGACGTGCCCGGCGACCGCACAACCATCGATCTCACACATGATGAGAACCAGTACTCCATTGGGAACCTGAAGCCAGACACCGAGTATGAGGTGTCCCTCATCTCCCGCAGGGGTGACATGTCCAGCAACCCAGCCAAGGAGACCTTCACAACAGGTAATGGGCCTTCCCCTGTGAACAGCCAGGAAAGATTGGCTGTGAGGCTTCCATCTCACTCCGAGCTGCCTGGTATCTTCCAGGCTCCTTTGACAGTAGGAAAGTAGAAAGGGAAATTTCATTCCTTTCAATGTTTATTTAAAAATATTGTAGCAATTGATTAACTTTTTAAAGAAAACTATATCCAAATAAGCTTCTAAAAAAAAAAACAAAAACATAAGCTGCTGGTCTGATAATCTCAGACAAAAAATGTTCTGATTAAAATAAGATTCAAATAAATATTTTCATGATAAAATACAGTTTATGGAAAGCATGGATGACAAAGATGCCCATAACCTCTTAGCCTGTGGCATTCTTTTTTTTTTTTTTAAGATTTTATTTATTTGAGAGAGAGTGCAAGCAAGGGTAGGGGCAGAGGGAGAGGGAGAGAGAGAACCCTCAAGCTGACTCCCTGCTGAGCTCAGAGCCCAACATGGGGCTCCATCCCAGGACCCTGAGGTCATGACCTGAACTGAAAACAGATGCTTAACTGACTGAGCCACCCAGGCACCCCTGTGGCATTCTCTTAAAAGTCCCAAAGTGTCCATCAATCTTTGAGTCAATGAATATTTTTTCAGAGCACATTATGAAGCACCGTATGAATTATTAGAAATACAGTGATGGGCACAACAGACCTGTTCTTACACTCACAGACCTTATTTGTAAGTTTCTGTATAGTTTTTTTAGGCATAAAATCTGAGGAGCGTGTGAATGACTAAAATAGCGCACATATTAATAATGGGGAAAGGAAAAAAATGAAATAAAATAAAATAAGACAAAATAATGGGGAAAGGTGCCCGATAATGCACTATTTATTTAGATCTGTGCATCAGGTATTGAGATGGGTTGGGGGGAGATGTCATTTTTCTCCAATGGCAGGTGCCTTTCGTGTCTCAACTTAGAACTGTCTGACTCCCAGTCTCCTAGCACCTGGTGTTTTCGATGCACATGTCCCCTCGTCTTCCAAACAGGCCTGGATGCTCCTAGGAATCTCCGTCGCATCTCCCAGACAGACAACAGCATTACCCTGGAATGGAAGAACGGCAAGGCGGCCGTTGACAGTTACAGAATTAAGTATGCACCCATCTCCGGAGGTGCCCATGCTGAGGTCGAAGTCCCAAGGAGCCAGCAAGCCACCACCAAAACCACGCTCACAGGTAAGCTCTGCATCCCAGACCCAGCCCGCCCGCGGGGGGGGGGGGGGTGTCCCCATTTTGCAGCCGTCCACGTAGAGAAAAAGTGCAGTTCCCAGCAATTCTCACTTGGACTTCAGCAAGGCAGTCTGTACAACATACCAGACACTGAGAAATCATAGCCTCCAGCGACAGGCAGCTCAGGGCTATTTTGATGATCCTCTGAACATCATCTCAGTTTGGGGCTAAATATCCACCTGCACATTTCCCCTTAGGTCTGAGGCCAGGAACTGAGTATGGGATCGGAGTGTCTGCTGTGAAGGCTGACAAGGAGAGCGATCCAGCCACCATCAACGCAGCCACAGGTGAGATACCCCTGGATCCCCACCACCGCTGGGTTGGCGCTGACAGAGTGCTGGGGCCCAGAAGGCAGAAAACCTATTTTGAAAGAAACAGTAGATGCACAGAGAAGAAAGGGGCCTCTAGGATCATCTAGCCCAGATGTCTAATTCAAAAGTAACATAAGCACGCCACATCTAAATGATCCTTAAGGGGAATGAGATTTTTTTTTAAGAGAAATTGGAACCAGATTTTATAAGAAATCTGCAAACTTAAGTTGGTAATCAGTTCCATTTCATATATATATACATATGTATAAACCTTGGACTAATCAGAACACATCTGGGAGGTTTTCTTTTAGAAAACACCTGACGTTTATAGTATAGTTTTGTCCTACAGAGGGTAAGTAGCAGAAACATAGTTTCAGACAGACTTTGCTCTTACCCATGAAGCTCCAGTCTCTGGATGAGAGTGATGAGGAGCCGTATGATTTGAATTGATTCTTTCCTCAAGTTTCCCCCATCCCTGGAAAATGTGTTAAAGCAAAGAAAACTCGGGCACCTGGGTGGCTCAGTCGGTTGGGCGACTGCCTTCGGCTCAGGTCATGATCCTGGAGTCCCGGGATCGAGTCCCGCATCGGGCTCCCTGCTCGGCAGGGAGTCTGCTTCTCCCTCTGACCCTCCCCCCTCTCATATGCGCTCTCTCTCTCTAATAAATAAATAAGATCTTTAAAAAAATTTTTAAAAATAGGGGCGCCTGGGTGGCTCAGTCGGTTAAGCGACCGCCTTCGGCTCAGGTCATGATCCTGGAGTCCCTGGATCGAGTCCCCCGTCGGGCTCCCTGCTCGGCAGGGAGTCTGCTTCTCCCTCTGACCCTCCCCCCTCTCATGCTCTCTCTATCTCATTCTCTCTCTCAAATAAATAAATAAAATCTTTAAAAAAAAAAAAAAGGAAATGTATTAAATACTGATTGTGGTGGTGGTTACATAGATATAAATGTCAAAACTCATCAAACTGTACCCTTGGTACATTTTGCTGTATATAAACTATAACCTTAATGTAATTGATTTTTAAAAATATTTTTTGGGGCGCCCGGGTGGCTCAGTTGGTTAAGCGACTGCCTTCGGCTCAGGTCATGATCCTGGAGTCCCGGGATCGAGTCCCGCATCGGGCTCCCTGCTCGGCGGGGAGTCTGCTTCTCCCTCTGATCCTCCCCCCTCTCATGTGCTCTCTCTCATTCTCTCTCTCTCAAATAAATAAATAAAATCTTTAAAAAAAAAATATTAAGAAAAAAAAAAAGAAAAGAAAACTCTTCCCTCTATTTCTCCACTAATCTCCTCCTTACTTTCCCCAGGCACCATGAAGAAAAGGGGTCTGGTGTGCAAAGAGGATGTAGATCATGCCTCATGGGTCCTCATTATGCAGGACCCAATGCTGAGCACTTGCACACACACACTTTTTTTTTTTTAAGATTTTATTTATTTATTTGACAGAGAGAGAGAGAGAGATCACAAGTAGGCAGAGCGGCAGGCAGAGGGAGAAGGAGAAGCAGACTCCCAACGAGCAGGAAGCCTAATGCGGGCATGATCCCAGGACCCTGAGATCATGACCTGAGCCAAAGGCAGATGCTTAACCGACGGAGCCACCCAGGTGCCCCACACACACCCTTTTTTATCTTTTTATTTTGAGGTAATTGTCAGTTCACATGCTGTTGTGAGAAATAATACAGAGAGATCCCCCTAAACCCTTTGCCCAGTTTCCTCCAATGGTTAATAATTGTGTAACCATTGAACAATATCACAACCAGGAAACTGACATTGATACAATCTATCAACTTTATGCACATTTCACCAGTGGTACATGCAACTCATTTTTGTATGTGTGTGTATTTAGTCCTACGCCGTTTTTTCCCAAGCAGCTTTTTTCACCCACTGGTACAGTTAAGACACAGAATACTTCCATCACTAAGGTCGCTTTTGTCCCTTTTTTTTATAGCCACAGGCACTTCCCTCCCTCCCCCTCTCCCTAACCCTGGGCAACCCCTAATCTTCATCTCTGTAATGTTGTTATTTCAAGAATGCTGTATCTAAGGAATCATACAGAGAAGGCAGCCTGCAGAGATAGGATTTTTCACTCAGTGTAATTCTCTTGAGGTCTACTCAGATTGTTTCTGTGTCAACAGTCGGTTCTTTTTAGATGCTTTTAATTGGGTAGTATTTCATGGTATGGATATATACCACTATATTCTTTTTAATCTTCCAAAACTCCAATGCGGCACTGTCCCACGGCATCTTAGAGAGGTGAAAACAGACCCAGACGGGAAAGTCACCTGCAGTCACACAGCCCCTGTAGGGCAGAGCTGGAATGCTAGCCCAGAGCTGCCTATCAGCCCCAAAAGCAGCCCTGCCTCCCAGCCCGAGACCCGTTCATCTCTCTGCTTTCCTCCCAGACATGGACGCACCCAAGGACCTGCGGGTTTCTGAAACCACGGAGACCAGCCTGACCCTGCTCTGGAGGAGGCCTTCGGCCAAGTTTGACCATTACCGCCTCAACTACAGCCTGCCCTCGGGCCAGCCAGTGGAGGTGAAGCTTCCGAGAGACACCACCTCCTATGTCTTGAGAGGCCTGGAACCCGGGACGGAATACAGCATCCTCCTCACCGTGGAGAAGGGAAGGCACAAGAGCAAACCCGCACGAGTAAAGGCATCCACAGGTGAGGTCAGCCTCTGAGCTCCCTCCAGACTCTCTGTTGATTCTGAGGTTTGCAGACCCGTAAGTCAGGCTGTCTCCATAAGGGAAAACCAGGTGGGAATACGCACAACTTTCTCTGCATAGCACTTTGAAGGAGCTACTTACTTCTCTTTTCCTCTGTCAGCTGATTCAGCAAAGTCTTTTTGTTGGGAAATCACTGGCGTTTTTAAAATATTTCTTCCTAGGAGAACTTAAAGCATCAGGGTTTGCATTTGTCTTTGGTTCTTTTTTTTAATTAATTTTGTGCATTTTACAGAGTCTTTTAAATGGTTTATTTTTTGTCCTCTCTCTTTAGCCTAACAATTAATTTACTTTTTTTTTTTCCAAGATTACCAAGATGTTGGTAATAATTCTTTGGTTATTTCCTACTAAATGTTTTTTAAGTTTATTTATCATTATTATTATTATTATTTTAGTAATCTCTACACCTAATATGGGGCTTGAACTCATGACCTCAAGATCAAGAGTCACGTGTTCCACCGACTGAGCCAGCCAGGCACCCATCCCACTAAATGTTTTTATTCCAGGTCTTTTGCTTCCCTCTAAGGTTACCTGAAAAGTTGCATATGATCCTTTGAGCCTTGCACAGCGCCCTCCTCATTTTCTCTTTTCTCCTAGACTTTAAGAGGCGAACGTGGTTTTTCCGTGACAGCTAAATCCTGATCTCCGGTGTTCCTTCTAGCCCAAATATCCTGTTCCTCATACCTGCTGCCACAGTTCCTCAGTGGCTAAGTTGAAAAAATAATTAAAAAAAAAATCCATTTTTCCGATATGAAAAATATGTGCATAGAATTGTGGCCCCAAACTATTCAAGAGGTATCGGTGAAAAATGTTACTTCTTCAGGGCTTGACAAGTAATAGTCTTTAGTCTCAATTTAATTAGTCTTTATTGAGAACCCACTGACTACATAGTGTGCTGATATTTGAGGGGAAAGTGGGTCACGTATTTAGCATTGTTATTTTCACTCACGTGCTCCTGCTCACTGTCCGTGGGGAAGACTAGATATCAGAATGTTAGATGGAATGCCATCAAGGAAAGGGGGTGATTGGGAGAATCAAGGGCAGCCAGAGAAAGTGTCATGGCAGAGATGTTAGTCCAACTCCATCTCGATAAGCAGAAAAGGGGTCGTGGTGATGGGCAAATCTGGAGATACCTTGAAGACTCTGTCATTTATGAGTACCTTTCCCTGCAAATAACAGGAGAACTCAAAAAACAGTCACTTCAACAAAATGGAAGTTGGTTTCTTGTCATAAGGTAAACCTGAGGCTAGGTGGTTCAGGCCTGGCGTAGCAGTTTCAAGTTATTAGGGACTTGGGCTCCTTCTCTTTTTCTGTTCCACCATTCTTAGTCCTTGGCTCCATTCCCAAAGTCACTTCCTTGTCACAATGTGGCTGCCACAGTACAGCCTTCACATCTGTGTTCTAGGCAGCCTGAAGGAGGAAGAACCAAAACTAAGAAGGAGTACCTCCTAGATGAGTCTTTCTGGAAACCTCACCACTGACTTCTACTCCTATTTCATGGGCCACTCCACACTATAAGCAAGTCTAGGAAAGGTAGTCTACTGGCTCAGCTTGTTGCTGCCCACATAAAATTGTGGTTGTTTATAAGAGAGAGAGAAGAGATATTTGGTAGACAAAGAGCAGCCTCTTCAGAGTCTGAAGTGAGCTCAAGTGGTCAATGTGATTGCCTCTGTGCATGTACTGCTTCCCACCCAGCTATGAGGTGAGCATCAAGGGTGCTCTGGAGGGACAGTTCAATCCTAGATAAGGGAGGGGCAAAACAGAATCCAGAAGAAATAAATCTATGGTAGAGATTTGAATGTTTCCGCCTTATAAACATGAGTTTATCATAAGGTGTCAAGGAACAGCAAATGAATCTGAAAAACACGAGAGAAGACATTTCTTTCTCTTCTTTCTTTCTACTTCTCCTCCTCCTCTTCCTTCTCTCTCTCTCTCTCTCCACGTTTCCCTGAGTTTGACATATGCTATATCAAGGAGTTTCCTATTTCTACTCATTTTACCCTCTGGCTGTAGCTAGGTTATCTCCTATCTCCAGTGGGGAAGCCCCAGGCCTCAGCAGCCCAGGAAGATGAAAGCTTTCAAGTGAACCACAGGCTGGAATTACTTTGTCTCTGACTAAGAGCCCAGTTTTGGCATCCCAAAGACTCAGTGGTTTCATTTCCCCAGCCACACGTCCTTAATACGGTTTCCAAATAAATCATGTTGTCTATTTAAAGACGTCCTTCATTTCAGGAAAAATATGCAGACTCCCTTTAATTGGCTCTTCCCCCATAGTCTCCAGAATATTTTACCCTAGGGCTTTCTCCATAGGACAGTTTTATTTCATTAGAAGTGAGGTGGACATCTCTTTCTGTCTCTCGAATTCTATCTTTTCAAGTCTTCTACATTACTTAACCAGTAATGTTTACAGCTGAGCTCCATGCGCTAAGTTCTGTGGACACTAGATCAGTCAGGACAGATCTGTGCTGCCAGGAAACTTGCTGATACGCAGACTGACAGACAACAACACTACACTCCGCTTGCTAGAGCTGTGGGTACAGAGGGTGCAGCAGGAGCACAGGATGATTTCTGAGCATCAGGAAAGGCTTAAAATGGGCAGAAGCTTTTGCACAAACACATAAAGGCAAACAGGACTGTGTTGTGGATTATGGAAATAAGTACACGTATAGGCACTTGGCCTTGTACATATGGAAAGAAAAAAGAAACAGATCACATGGGAGCTCTTGGGCAAGTGTACCATGTGGTTTTGAGTCCTGAGATGTCAACCCAAAGGGCCTGAGGTTTGAGATGTTCAAACCTCAGAAGAAGGGGACTCCCTGTTCTGCATCACTAGATTCTTTTTTTTATCATTTCTTTTTTTTAAAGATTTATTTATTTGAGAGAGAGAGAGTATGAGCAAGAGGGGTAGAGGGAGACAGAGAGGGAGAGAGAATCTCAAGCAGACTCCATGCTGAGCACAGAGCCTGAAGCGGGGCTGGATCCCACAATCTTGAGATCATGACCCGAGCTAAAACCAAGAGTTGGACGCTCAGTCGACAGTGCCACCCAGGTGGCCCCATCACTAGATTCTTAATGGCAGAATCTGCACAGTGCTGCTCATTATCTGTGGGTCTTATGGAGAAGATGTGGAATTGGCTGCCCCCAAAGCATTTTTTCCCTAGGGAATTCCAGAGCTCTAGCCATGGAATTGAGCCAACGGGTAAACTTTTTCCCTGATGCAGAATCAAATTAAGAGTATGCGTAAGCCAGCTGCCCATCACACCTGAAATGAAATCCAAAGACCCTACCACAGCCTACATGGCCCTACAGAATCTGACCCTTCCAATCTCTCTGACCTCACTCCCACCATTCGTCCCCTTGTTCATTTCACCCAGGTCACTCTGGCCTTCCTGCTATTCCTTGAGTATGCCAAGCCTGCTCCTACCTCAGGGCATTTGCACATGCTATTCCTGCTATCTAAATACCACTTCTCTCCCAGTTACTCATTGGCATCTCCCTCATTTTATTCTGCTCGAGTGATTTCTCAGTAGACTTCTCTGGCCACCAGTCTGAAATGGTGTTTCCATCCCGATTTACCCCTTCATGCTGCTGCAGAGTTCCTCATGACACTTATCTGGCCTGATATTATTCAGTAGTTGGTTTATTTACCTATGACCTGCCTCCTACTACTGATCAGAATATAAAGACTCTGTCTCCTTTATTCAGTGCTGCATCATCCCCAGTGCCTTAGACACAGCCAAGCACAAGATATGTGCTTCATGAGGATTTGGGAACCCCAGCTACTCCAGAGTGGTATTGTTTCCATTGAATCTCATGGTCTTTTCCTTCTACTTCTGCATTAACAGCCCAAATTCTCTCTGTTTAGGATTAAGGGAAGGGAAGTTACTCTGTTGTCTTAAGTTAAGCTTACTCTAGATAGAAAAGGAAGGAAGGAAAGGAGGGAAGGAGAAAGGAAAGGGGGGATAAAGAGAGGGAGGGAGGGAGGGAGAAGGAAAGCGAGAGAAAGGTAGAATCCCATTAAAGTTGAGGAAAATTAGTGTGTGCCAGGCATCTCCCCTATGCCCCACCCCCTGCATTTATATTTTGATAAACTCAATGAAACCCTGCTTAAAGTGGAGGCCATGAATTTGCTGTGAGCAGTAGGGACATAAAGCAGAGAGAATATGTAAAACACAAGGCCAATAAAGCATCTTTCCATACCAGCATAAGACTCAACAGTGATACCCCAGTAATTCTCATGAGTTTGGGAAGCAGAAAGGTGTAATTTTGCTTATAGTCACAGCTGCAAGTAATAGGGAACATTCTGCTGTGATGCCATTTTGATTTATTCATGGAGCAAACCGAATTTATTCAAATATTTAACCATCCAACAAATATTTATTACTTAACTGCTGTGGGTCAGGCAGTGCTGGTGTCTGTATAGAACAGGAAGGCACACAATGATGCACATTGCAATGAGAAAGAGAGAACCAAAACCAAAATTATAAGAATATAACTAGTCTGTTTTAGAGGGAAGTTTGGGAAGCTATGAGAGCAGAAACAAGGACCCATTCCAGACCTGAGCAAAGGGAAAGAAGGATATCAGAGAAGGCTTTTTGGAAGGCATGACACTTGGCTGAATCCTCAAAGAGGAAAAGAAGAAAGGAAGTACAGAGCAGGTAATGACATTTCCAGCAGGAGGAACAGCATGTGAGATGCTCCCAGGCATGAGCAACTTCCTATTAGTGAAACACAAGCTGTCCAGTCCTGCTCTGTGATGGAGTGGGAGAACAGCAAGGTACGGGGTTGGAGACATCACCAGAGGGCAGTGAATATCGTGCTAAGGGGCTTGGACTCCATTCTTGACAGTGATAAAGAGTCACTGAAAAGTTTTAAGGCAGGCAAGGCTTTTAATTTTAATTATCTTGACTTTACAAGATGAGATCAAAGCAATTAAATCTACCCTGTAGGGTCCTCAGGCTTGAATTTGGCCATCCACCTGCTGTCGGAGAATCCCTCTCTTCCATCAGTGAACACTGAAAGTGAATTCCTAATCAGCTAGCGCTTGGTAACTACCATCTACAAGATGGAAGATTTAAAGTTAGCATATCTGAAAGTTTAAAGTTGGCACAGCCAGAAATTCCTCCAGGCCAGCTGGTCAACCCCCCATGAGCGTAGAAATGGGATTTCGAAATTCTGATTTTCCAGGCCCACTGACATTGTTCAGAGGGTAGATGCCAGTGCACAGCTGTAAGAAAAAGACAACAGCCTTTTCATAAAGAAATGCCAAGAAATGCAGCATGGAACTATACAGCGGAAACACTGGGCTTCTGGACAGTAAGGCTACCAGTGTGTCATTTGCTGTTGAAATGTAGACTCTGCATTTGAGTGAAACTTCTTAGTCCCCACCTCTGCTATTGTCCACTGTACTTTTATTCATATCATTCCCTCTAATTTCATAATTATCTCTTTTCCTTCAATTTATCTATCAATTCCATTCATTTAAGTTACACCTTTTACTTATTTGACTAGCATTTGTTTAGTGAAAGGATGGGCGGGGGGGGGGGGGCACCAACAGCACCCATGACAGAAACAGTCACAGCACGGTTCCCTCAAGATAAACTAATACTCTTTCTTGACCTGCTTATCAAAAAAAAAAAATAGAAGAATAGTCAAAGGTTTTGGTAGAAATATCACCCTGATTATTACTGTTTATGAGCAACATGACGTTATATGAAAATCACTCTGTGAAAAGAACGGAAGAAGCAGGGCACGAGGGGTGTGTCATATCAGTGTCCGCGGCATATAAAAAAAAAAGCCGATCCAAAGAGAAAAGATGGTTCTCCTCAGGAAGACGTAGTTCCCACTGCGCATCCCCTCCTGTTCTCTCTCCGTCTCTCTTTACTGCAAGAGCTTTCAGAAACCATCCATAACCCACTCCTCCCTGCCCCAGGTAGGTAACTCTCCTCACCTCACCTGCAACAGTGGTTCTTGACATTCTTTTCATGGGGGAAAAAAAAAGGCTTTATGTCTGAATTAGAGAGACAGCTTAAAAAGCAGTTAGCTGAGAAGGAAAGACAAGGACTTAATTCACATAAAGAGGAAGATTGTCAATGCCATCCAAGTTCCTGACAAGCAGTTTTGACAGCAGGAGGAGAAAAAAAGAGGAAAGTGGGATGAGTCATAGGGGGCATTTGTGGATAATAGGATTAATTTCCCTAACCTTAAAGAGTTGCTTAGATTGGTTTTTGTCCTATATCTCTTCATGCATGAGGACTACTAGAATATTTGAAAAGGACACACTCCTGATTTTAGTTGTGCTTAAATCCTAAGGTCAAGGATGACAACTGTTCTATCTGGAGCACTGCTCTTGGCCTCCAAGGGCCAGTGGGTTTAAGGATGGCTGACTCTCCCTTTCTTTCCCCCAAATGAGATGTATTGGGTCCTCTCTTTCTCATCACAGTCACATTTATGTGGTTAAGACCTGCTTCAGGTGAGCTTCAGGGCATGAATTTGGGTTATATGAGGAGCCCGTAGAATGTAGTTCAAGATGAGGTATGGCCAACATTTTCTGTAAAGGGCCAGAGAGCAAATATTTTAGACTTTTCAGGCCATAAGCTTTCTGTCACAACTATTCAAGGGTGCCTTTAGCATAAAAGCAGCCATCAACAACACGTGAATGAACAAGCATGGCTATGTTCCAATAAAACTTTATTTACACACCAAAATTTGGATTTCATTTGTATTTTCATATATCATGAAACATTCTTCTGTTTGGATTTTTGCCCCAACCATTAAAAAATATAAAAACTGTTGTTAGCAGTTCATTACCAAAATAGGGAGCAGGCCAGATTTGACCCTCAGATCGTAGTTCGCAGACCCCTGTTCCGGGTCAAACAAGATTTGCAGGACTGCAAACTTTGTCAATATGAAACATTAAGGAAGAGCTTTTCCCAGAACTTGGAAAAGTCTGAATTAAATAGATTCTTGGAAAGATTTTTCCCTCAGAAAGGATATCTTCAATCCAATCAAGCTAGGATTTTCAGGTTAGGAGCGTGCTTTAATGCGCACATGGGGCTCTTTTGAAAGTAGTAGCCAATGGGAGGCATAAAGAGAGGAACATTTGTTCTTTTAAATGAGCTCGAGGCAGTTCTTGCTGTGTTTACAGGATCCATTTCCAGAGAAAAATCCTTTCTTCCTAGGTCACGCAAAGCCCACTTAAGCTGAGCCCTGGGCAAATTATCACCTGGAAGGCATATTCAGACAGGTGTGTTGTTGCTGTACTTTGTGTGTTCAGGAGATGAATGAAGATGACACCTTCGGGTTTAATTGAGCTTGATAAGCTCTGTTTGTCCCAGGCCTCAGTCTTTCTCTCCAGTAAGGGACGGTTTTGCAAAGACTCCTCCCCTTCCTCAGTACAGCCTTACTTGGACTGTGTTAATTTATCTCTGATCTTCCTGAAGTGGTTTTATGTAAACTGACTTGAGCCCCGGCAACTGACAAAAATTTCAGCATAGAGACTATAAAACAAACCTCCCAGACGAGATGGAGATTGAGGAAGCATGAAAAGGAAGGGAATTAAGAGGAACCAATTTTCTCAAAAGACAGAAGGCTGAGCAGCTCAGACCAAAAATCCTGAGAAGAGCTGGAGGCTGTTCCTTATGATGTCATCCTTATGATGAGAGACACTTTCCAAAATGGAAACCGAAGCCTAGAGCACTACTAACATGGATGTGTAGAGTTTTCTAGATCCACAGGACACTGGTCGGTAGGAAAATACCATTTCCAAAAGACATACCCAAAGAGGCCACAGGGCAAAATAAGTATTATATGGAGTTTTCTGTTGATGTTTTGATGTTGACAGCCGCGCTAGGGGATGCAGTGAGAGAAACATGGCGCTCAGCCCTGCCCCGGCCCCCACCACAGGCCTTTCAGCACTGGTAACGGGTTTGCCATTTCTGGGTTCCCAGAAGGAAAGGGGTTTGAGGAACAGTTTAACTGACCCATCTCTGTCATTATTCAGGCCATGCCCCTGAACTGGAAAACCTCACCGTGACCGAGGTTGGCTGGGATGGCCTTAAACTCAACTGGACCGCAGCTGACCAGGCCTATGAGCACTTTGTCATTCAGGTGCAGGAGACCAACAGGATGGAGGCAGCTCAGAACCTCACGGTTCCCGGCAGCCTGCGGGCTGTGGACGTCCCGGGCCTCAAGGCGGCCACCCCTTATAGAGTCACCATCTACGGGGTGATCCGGGGCCATAGGACACCAGTGCTCTCTGCCGAGGCTTCCACAGGTATCTCTCTCTCACCCTTCCGTTTCTAGCTTCTGTTGTCCCTAACAGGAAACTACCCACGGATCATCAGACACAACTCACTTTTGAATGGACTTCTTCGGCCCCAAGTTACAGCGCTGTGGTGTCTAATAAAGGGGAGCCGTCAGGCTGTACGACTCCAGGGGCACCTTTGACATCGCACCCCCTGTGAACAACACCCTTTGGGGCTGTGCAGAGCCCTGCCTGGGGGCTCTCCACACAGCCCCAGTGGCAGGGCTCTTTAGCTTCACAAACAGACTCCCTCCTGGTAAGGGATGTGAAGGCATTCTATTTAAAAGGAAAAGAAAAATCAGAAAATTAATCTCCCTGCCCACTGAAGGTTGGGGCAATTCTTGAATAAAATAAGATGACAAATATTTTTCTATACCTCATGTTCTTTGCTCTATTTCTCGAATTCTAGGAAGGTGCATGATGCATGTTTATCTAAAGACAGTCCTGTATTTTTAAGTAATCTAAAGCCTACTCTGGTGTCCATGATTCCCTGAATCTTGCTGTGTGATTTGATCATTAAACTCATTCTTTGTCCTTCTCCAGGGGAACCTCCCAGTTTGGGAGAGGTCACGGTGTCCAAGGTGGGCTGGGATGCCCTCAAACTCAACTGGACTGCTCCGGAAGGAGCCTATGAACAGTTTTTCATTCAGGTGCAGGAGACTGACGCGGAAGAGGCAGCCCAGAACCTCACAGTCCCGGGAGGACTGAGGTCCGTGGACCTGCCTGGGCTCAAAGCAGCCACTCATTATAGCGTCACCATCCGTGGGGTCACGCAGGACTTCAGCACGACTCCTCTCTCTGTTGAAGTCTTGACAGGTATTCCAGACTAGCTCATTACTCTGCTTCCTCCCTGTGTCTCTGCTTGGGACGGATCAAACTCTTCCTGCTCTAAGCTGGCTCAGCCCCAGCTCCACTGGGGAACACCGGTGAATCATCCCTGCTTCCCTCCAAATGTCATATCCCTTATTTGGCCAAGTCCTAGTCTAGCATGGTAGCCAATTCCATGGAAAATTCCACCTACTCTCCCCTTACAAAAGTGAGAGGTGACTTTTCTTTCAAAGCAAGTTTCAGTCATAATAGCCGAGGAGTTGGAAAGCGCAGTTTGCAAGTGGAAAAAAAGTGGTCTGAGCTCATTTTAAGAACACACCAAGATTCCCCAAAGCCCCATTTATATGTTAAGAATGGAAGTTATGAACAATTCCTAGAACTATCTTTCATTCCCAGAGACTGAAGAGAAAAACCCTGGCTTTTAGTGCCAACAGTCAGAGTGTGCTTGACACCTGCTATAGATCACGCATCTGTAATCAACACTAACCAGACAACTCGTCCCAACCCCAGCCAAAGTGTCATCTTACCTGAACCCCGGCATGCAATTACCTTTTTTAGTAACTCAGCTACTCTGTGTCCTCATGCAGAGGAGGTTCCAGATCTGGGAAACCTCACAGTGACCGCGGTCCACTGGGATGGCCTCAGTCTGGACTGGACCGCCCCCGATGGGATCTATGAGCAGTTTATCATTGAGATCCAGGAGGCTGACCAGGCCAAGGAAGCTCACAGTCTCACGGTTCCTGGCAGCCTGCGCTCTGTGGACATCCCGGGCCTCAGGGCCGGAACTCCTTACACGGCCACCCTGCATGGCCAGGTCAGAGGCCGCAGCACTCGACCCCTTGTTGTGGAGGCCGTCACAGGTATAGGACCCTCCTCCCACACCAGGGACGTGACTGAGCCAACCTCTCTTTGGAATCGAGAACATTCCCCATGCGTCCGAGTTTTATCCCAATATTCCTGACAGGCCATGCGAAAGCAAGTTGGGTTGGAATTTCACTTTCCTGGCTGGATGTTCTTGGGTCTGTCGTTTGACATTTCTTTTGACATTTGAGTCTTCTTTTCTCACCTTCAGTTAGGAGATAATACCCCACCTCAGAACATTGTCCTGAGCAGTGAATGAAACCATGACCAAAAGTGCTTAGCAAAGCTCCCATCCTGTGGTAAATACTGAACAGCAAATAGGTAAATATATCAGGTAGCAACGTATCCTAATGAAAATAGCAGAAACAGTAGGGCTGTGGCACAAGAATAAGGTCAGAACTTTCTAGAGAAATCTTATCACAAGTGGCCTCAGAGTCACTGACTGCCGTCCAACTTGTAGTACATCACTATGGAATAAGCTCTGAAGCAATCTGGCCATCTTCGGCCGAAACTGTCCAAGTCTCTCTCCCCTTAACAGATACTCAGGGCAGCAAGCACATTTCCAAGAAAGAACAGCCACATTTGACTTCAATGTTTTTCATTCAGTTTGGGGAGGAAAAACAATTTATCCCAATTTGTCCCCTGGAAATAATGCTGTTCCATCTGTTATAGGAAATGCTATGCTGTTTGTGAGGTGTTTAGAAACAGCCTTAAAAAGGGCAAATGGGCCAAATTTTTGGTAGGGTTTTTATGCTGGGCCCTCAGTCCATGCCCTTCTCTATACATCCTGTGTTTTGATAATACCATCCAAATAACCTAATTCAAATAAATTGTTGTTCTTGCTTGCATATACCAAGTAAATTTGGTCCTTGCTAGAAACTACACACAATTCCAAAAATGAGAAAAGCGATGTTGCAATCCACCAAAGCAAAAGGGGCTTTTGAGGCCCATGTGATCTGGATGTGGGATGCTATGGGTCTCTACCTATGGGATGTAAACTTTTGTTTTGAGCAACAGAACTCCTTTTGCCCCACTCCATGACAGGTAAATGGACAGCTCTTCTTGGTGAGCTAGGGAGGCAGAGGGGACTTACTGCACTGATACGCCCAAAAGCACCAAAGTCATGTGGTACAGCTTGAATCAGCTCCTCTAACAGGCTGAGTTTGCTCAGACTCTCACAGTACACTGAGTCCTGAAATACCTGAGAATAAGTACCTCGGGCGCACTTTTTTTGTGGCTGAAGTCCCTTCAGATACTTCCTTTTCTAACTTCGAATCCATGGCCCCTTCAGCCTGTTAAAAGAGAAAAGTCTGAGATTGCATTTAATCCTGAGAGGTGTTCCACTAAGCAGTGGGTTTTGCCATGTTCAGAATCCAGACTTCTTAAATCAGCAAAAAGAACTTCGTTAAATTTCCTTCCTACGTGGTAGAAAGATAAACAGTGGGCCCTGCTCTGCATCATTTACCGAGCAAAACATAATCACTTTTAATTAAAAGTGGGCACTCATCTTGTACAAATGGCTTTGCTTCATGGTACAGACATTCTTCATCCAGGCACAGAGTACTTGCAGAAGGTGGGAGGGAAAGAACCGAGCCAAGAATCCAGCACAGAACATTTGATCCCTGAAAGCAGAGTAAAGTCCAGAGATAAAACAGCAGACTTGTCCAGACTGAGACAGCGTACACTTTATTTTTTTTTTTTAAAGATTTTATTTATTTATTTGAAACAGAGAGAATGAGAGAGAGAGAGAGCACATGAGAGGGGGGAGGGTCAGAGGCAGAAGCAGGCTCCCTGCCGAGCAGGGAGCCCGATGCGGGACTCGATCCAGGGACTCCAGGATCATGACCTGAGCCGAAGGCAGTCGCTTAACCAACTGAGCCACCCAGGCGCCCCCAGCGTACACTTTATAAAGCCAGTCCGATAGTAGGTGGCCAGCAATAAGACAGTCCCTCCAACGTGAAGTCATGAAAGAGGCAGATAATTGTCTCCAATATGGCTGAGAAGTGCCAAGGGGAAGCATCTAAACAATGATGTATTTGTTGGGCTGCCACTTACTGGGCACTCACTGTGGGACAGGTATGACGCTCCAGGGTTCATAAATGGTATTTAGCCATCACCCGGTCCAATGATAGGGCACTGTCAGCTCCCTATATAGGTGAGGAGAGTGAGACTCGGGAACGAGCTGGGTGATAGGTTCAAGACTACCCGGGTGATAAATATTGTTGGAATTCCAACCAAGGCCCAGCTGCCTGCAAAGCCTGCACTTTTAACCGTCCCTACCCCCCTTACCCTGACCCACAATCCCACTTTTCCAGCTGCCCTTTAGGTTCTGGCCATGCATGCCCAGAGACCTCCCACGTGGGCTATTCAGTGGTCCGCCAGATAGCATTGCCATCTCAAGGATGAACCATGAGGATCTTCCCCTTTCTGACCATTTTCAACTCCTGAAGAAAGCTGTGGCCAGGTCACAGCCATTCAAGCTGGAAATAAATGCCCAGAGACCAAGAAGGACCACACATGCCCACGAAAATTCTCACGCCTCTTTCTGTCTTCCCTAGAGCTGGGCTGTGGGACGTTTGGTTTCCTCCTTTAGTGGTTTGCAGAACTGACAAATACCTCTCTGTCCTTCTTCAGAGGAGCTCCCTCAGCTGGGGGACTTAACCGTGACCGAGGCTGGCTGGGATGGCCTTAAACTCAACTGGACCACAACTGACCAGGCCTATGAGCACTTTGTCATTCAGGTGCAGGAAGCCAACTGGGTAGAGGCAGCTCAGAACCTCACGGTTCCCGGCAGCCTGCGGGCTGTGGACGTCCCGGGCCTCAAGGCGGCCACCCCTTATAGAGTCACCATCTACGGGGTGATCCGGGGCTATAGGACACCGGTGCTCTCTGCCGAGGCCTCCACAGGTACCCTCCTCCCTACTGCCGATGCCCCTCCCCAAGCCGCCCTGCTTCCTCTCCAAGAGACTGTGCAGAAAGTCAGCTTTTCTCTATGTCTGAGTCCTTCCCTTCTGTTGCTTAGTGGCTGGCGTGCATGCTCAGAGACGTCCCTGTGAACTGTGCCTTGGTCTACGAGCCTCTGCCATTTCGAAAATGAATGATAGAGATGTTGCCTTTTCTGACCTCCAGCCTTCAGCCTCTCTCAGCCTTTACCTAGTCCTACCACCCCTCTCTTTCTGAATGATGGCTTTCTGTTCCAGGAGACAGCCGGATGGTTTTAATTCTCTTCTCCAGGGGTGGAATATAACTAAAAGCCGCCCCTTGCCACGTGTGAGTTCTGGTTGAGCACAGATTATTTACTTTAGAGAGTCCTTTTGCTAGTTGGAAATGGTGCTTTACTATCCCAAATCCCTCAAGGGTATGTATGGGCACTGTGGTTCTTGCATTTAAAAGAAATGTTTTAATTTAAATGTTTCTTTAAAATGCGCTGAGTATAATGAGAGAACTGAATTACCCTCCTCTGGGCAATTCTCTCAGATACTGAGTCATTGTTAGAACATCAAATTAGCAAATAGCTAGACCAAAAAGGAAAAAAAAAAAAAAATCGCACAATTATGACTGGAGACAGTACCAAAGAAGAAACCATTCATTAGAAGTCCACACAGCAGCATTTGAAGTAAGGAATGTCCCAGGCTATGAATGTCAAATCTCTGATGCCCTTTTTGCTCTTTTAATCAAGAGGTGCTCCCTGGGGCGCCTGGGTGGCTCAGTTGGTTGAGCGACTGCCTTCGGCTCAGGTCATGATCCTGGAGTCCCGGAATCGAGTCCCGCATCGGGCTCCCTGCTCAGCGAGGAGCCTGCTTCTCCCTCTGACCCTCCCCCCTCTCATGTACTCTCTCTCATTCTCGCTCTCTCAAATGAATAAATAAATCTTTAAAAAAAAAAAAAAGAGGTGCTCCCTGGAGGGTTGGCCTTGGCGTGGCACACTCCCAGCGCCAACCCAGGACCGTGCGTTAAACTTGACCTGTCCCTCGGCTCCAGCGGCAAGGCATTCAGAACCCCCAGGAGCCTGCTACAGTGAGCAGCCTTCCCCAGCGCTGTTTCCCATTTCTTCCCTTCCTACACGCCTCCCCAGGGTGGACGCTCAGCAGAGCTGTCGTGTTTGGTTCTGCAGGGGCCTGCCCCACTTTTAGATGATTACTACAACTAAACTTCCATACAAACCCATACAACAACCTCCTTGATCCTAGCAAAAGCATAGCTCTGCATTTTAGCCTTGATCATTTCAATCATTCTGGCCGAGATAAACATAATACGGACAGCCACTGTATGAATGATGACCTTGAAATGCCCAGAAATTGCAACTGAGGTGCCCTGGATGGACCCAGGGCCCTTTGATCTGACATAGGGATCATAAATCATCCCTTCCCAGAAGGCAAGAGAAATCACCTGCCATTTCCGATCTTTCCTGCAGATCTTGTGGTTTGGGTGCCCTTAGTACTTGTGTGTGTGTGTGTGTGTGTGTGTTTCTTTTTAATGATAGCAACAGTCTTGTTTCTGATGAACTGGTAGGAGGGGAGAAGGGTCGTGGTTCCATCTGATCTGTGTCTCACTACATCTGATGGGATGGGAAGGCCTTCTCCTTCCCTGCTAGAGAAGCAATACTAGCTCTTCCCACGCTGCTTCTGCTTGCCTTCTGCCTGTTTTATTCCTGCTGCATGACAAAGTGCTTGTGCACTGGTAGGACCGTCTCCCAGACAGAATGCTATCTCTTGGCCGAACAGGGTGACCTGAATGCCTTGCATCGGCTCAGCTCTCCTGGTTAGCCATGCAGTGGTGGATTTCTTGGCCCACGTAGAAGCAGTTAAGAGAGGACGAGCTATTCCAACAGAATATGAAAACAGCCAGCCCTTGTCAGGAGTATGAAGACAATACCAAGAACCACACTGAGTTGCCAGTTGCCTTTAAGTCACAAAGGCAGAAGCCCCGAGGTACCACCTTGGGAGGGTAATGGCATCAGAGTTACTTAGTCCTCATTTAAATAGATGGGAGCTCCCTCAAAGCAAAGGATGACCCCAGGAGGGAGCCAACTTGGGGTCTCTTGAGTGCAATTCAAGAGACTGGGAGCTGCCAGAATGCCTATCTTTTGAGCAATGGCCAGCATCCCTGCGGTGGGGCTCCCTGGAGCATCTGAGCTTAGGCACCACAGTTCCTGCTGACATCATTTAGACGGCTTCTCACACGCAGGATCTCAGCCAGCCTGATCATGTAAGGCAGCTCCAGAGCAGGGAAATCCAACTGCGCAACCTTCCTCTTGGTCTTCTCCTGTTAACAAACGCCCCTCTTTCTTTCCCATCGGCACCGCTGGGTAACACCTGCTGCATTTCACCGTAACACTGAACCGGCAGATCCTTCTACCTAGCCGTGGTTCTATTAACAACCTCAGTCTTAAAACACAAGCCAAATCATTAACCCCCGATTTTTTTTCTTCTCTCCTACCCCCTTTTTCAGCCACAGGACCTGAAATTGGAAACTTAACTGTTTCTGACATAACTCCTGAGAGCTTCAATCTCTCCTGGACAGCCACCGATGGGGCCTTCGAGACCTTTACCATTGAAATTGTTGATTCCAATAGGTTCTTGGAGACGATGGAATATAATATCTCTGGTGCTGAACGAACTGCCCACATCTCAGGGCTACACCCTAATAATCATTTTGTTATCTACCTCTCGGGACTCGCTCCCAGCATCCGGACCCAAGTCATCAGTGCCACTGCCACCACAGGTACATCTGCTTTCTCCCATGTCTGACACCCTCTCTCCAGGTCTCCAGAATCTTCTTTGCAAGGCGAAGCTGCTCCTTCTCGCCCACTGAGGCACAAACCATAACGCATTGAACTCCTCCAGGATGCGAGGCTGGAGCACTGCTTAACATAACTCTCTTCCAACAGCAGCCCAAATGGTGGATTTCCATGAAGCCCCTTGCCTGATCTATTACTGGCCAGGACATGTGCAGCCTTAAACGTAGTCTGGTCCAGATTGCCATATGGAATCTGGAGAAAAAAATTCTGCCCTTCCGTACCTAAAAAGCCAGAGTTGTCCTTGATCTGGAAAGATGTCTGCATCAGTCAAAGAGGTCTTAAAAATTATATTTTGTGTTACCCTAGTATCTGTGGCCTCTAAATACCCAAGGATCCCAGTGATTTAATGAAATCGTGTTGGTGCTTTTTTTTTTTGTCAACTGCGAAAATGTTAAAAGAAAAAAAAAAAAAGCAGATTACTAATTGGATGGGTGCCCAAGGAAGTGGTACCATTCGGAACGCCCAGATTCCATCACGACCTCTGGGAGCAAAGACCTGAGCATGCTGTCTTGCCCCCAGAGAGTGAATGGTTGATTTCAAAAAGAGAAGTAGTCATGTTTAAATAAGGAACTTGGTCAACCAAAGCATAAGCTGCTCTTACTTAAATGTGTAGTGTCTGTGGTATACATACTACACGAGATGCTCTCTGGCATGCAGCAAAAGAGAATTCTCTATCTGAATTTAGAAAGGAGAAGCTTATCCATTCAAAATAGCATTCTTAGCACATTTTGGACAGTGAATCAGTGAATCCAAGAAGAGTTCCCATCATAGCGTCAAAATCATCTATCACTTAAGCCACCCATGGCTGAGGGAGGGTCTGTCCTCGTTCTACGTGAGACTACAAATTGTCAGCCGGGTGATGGAGCGGTTGCCCCCGCCAGATTCAGTACACCGAGACCTAGGGAAGAAAACCACCAACCTCATCCATTCGTTTCTCTTGGTTCAAACTGGGCTTCAACACAGGACCAGTGCCTTTATCAAAGGATGAAGTCTAAAACTTTATGGATTTAATCTTACGTGTTTTGGTTTTTGACTCTGTAACCGTGTTTTAAACTGACGCGCTTTCATTATTATTTTTTTTTTCTGCTTGCTTTAGTAGCCGAACCTCTCCTTAGCCACCTCACTATCTCAAATGTGACCTGGGCCAGTGTGTCCCTCTCGTGGAAAGCCCAGGAGGCTACCTTTGATAGCTTTCTTATAGAAGTTAGGAATTCTGACCCCCGCCAGGAGACGGTGGTGCATTCTGTGCCCGCAGCATCTCGCAGCTCTGTCATCACCAACCTCAAAGCTTCTTCTAATTACACTGCCCACCTTCACGGGCTGATGGGCGGGCACCGTGTTCAGACTCTGATGGCCCAGGCAACCACAGGTATTTCCCACGACGGCTTCTTCTCTCTCCATTAAACTTTCTCTGAGGATCATTCCAAAAAAAAAAAAAAAGAAAAATCACTCACTACCCATTTTTCATCCTCCTAGTTCCTCCAGATCGTTCTCAAATTTGATAGAGCCCCCCAAATCAGAGCCTTAAAACATAAAAAAAAAAAAAGCTCTCACCCCAAATTAAGGAACTTCAACGTCAACCTCTTTTTCCTAAATAGGCACTCACATCAGGAGTTGCTATGTGTTTGTATAGAGTTAACCTGACTTGCTTTGGTTGAATTTCTAAATCATCCTTCCATCTGATCTTGAATAATCGTTTCCAGTTCCACCCATTATCATCTGCCTGTGGTCTAATCAAAGTTTGCCTATGTCATATTCAAAGAGGTGCGTGCATGCCACTTTTCGTCCCCTGATCAGAATGTTCTACATCCTCTTTCTCTCCCCCAAGATTCTAAACAGCAGTGCCAGGAGCATGCAGAGAAAAAACCCTAACACACGTGAGAGGACCCGGTGGTCTCATCATGTTCTTGAGACTTCTATTTGCTTTCCTTCCCTACAAACAGACCGTTCTCCTTTGACATTTACCCTATGAAGCATGCTTTGTCATCTACTGACACCTATCACGAAATGTCAGTCTTCTTTCATCTGTCATCTTGTCCAAATCTTGGTGCATGTGGTGAACATTCAGAGCATTAAATTTCTGAAAAGATCTGTGTTTCCTGGAAGTAGACAGCATGTCCAGGAATTGTTTTGAAGGGTCAGAACTGGGGAGGGAAAGATGTCCCAGCTTGCATGGAACACTGCTCCTACCTTCCCTCTCTGTCTCTCTGAGGTTCTTCTTGCTCCTCACTTTTCAGCTTGGCTGCAGCCTTTGGGAGACAGCTGGAGGTCAAGCTGGCCATGAGAATCCAGGTCTTACTCTGCATGGTGAATGTGTTCCCACTGCCAGTCTCTGTCCAGGGGCATGAGAAGAGTCCTAACATGCATCCTTACTTGGAGAGATTGCTCCCACAGCAAAATACAGGGAAAGAGCAAACAGAGGCCTATTTGGAGGGTGCTACCTTTAGTGTGGTTGAAGTAATTTGCCAACGTTGTGGCTAAAAATTATAGCATCATTAGCTTCTCAAATGAGTTGCTAAGGAGGAGATCCCGGGCTGTCCCTTACAGCTATATTCTGCTTCTGAGCCAGATCCGTGTTGCCCTTGGAGACTTTGTGGCATCGAGTTATACTGTGCAATTGTCCAGTTAAAGTTTCTCCAGGTGAGCCCCTTCTTTCCTCCTAACCCTGGACATCCAGGCACACAACTCCCAAGTCCCTGGAGGAAATAGTCTGCTTCTCTTCCTAACCCTAAAGGCTGGCCCTGGTACCTCAAGCCTCCAGGACTGCTGCCTCTTTCTAAAATACAGTCGGAATTGAGCTTATTTTAGTGGTAGTATTACTTGATAAGTGTGCATTGAGGAGGTCAGACCATCTACATTCCAGCTGAAACTAGTGGTGCAGGCCCCCTACATTAAAAATGAGTTCCCTTCATCACTGATCTCCTAGTCCCTAAGGGAGAAGAGAAACTTAACCTCCAGGGGAGGTTAGCTATCTTTGCTAATTAGCTATCTTTGCTAATTATCCAGTAAGTGAATTTCCTAGGCAGAAAATGCAACACCTAGCTAAATTTTCTTTTAACTTTTGCATACACCAGGAATGATTTCATGAAAGCCATTTTACCTTTGCTGTATTTAGGGTAGGATACAGATTTCCCTATGGTGTATAAGAAACCTTTAGATTTCTAAATACTATGGAGAATTTCTCTTGTATGGATATCAGCCTTTAATTTGTACAATCCAAACAGATCAAAAGAAGACTAAATAAGGAAACTTCAAAGTAACATTTTCTAAGCTGTGCTCAGTGGAGCACCAGCTCCTTGAGATGTTCAAAGAATATTTCTCAGAACGGGTATCCATTGATCAGAAAGTTTGTGAAATTCTGGCTACACAAAATTAAGTAGGTTTCTTTATAGAACCAGCATTTCAGAGGCTATAAAATGCTAACATGCTTTGTAAATCTCCAGGGTGAGATAGAATATCCATAAATACTTCACTATAAAGCTGTTTTTCTTAGAACATCTTACGGAGCTAATGGCCCACCGCAAACCTTAGAAATGCACCCTTAATATTCTATGTTACTCCTATCTACCATTTTAATGGCTTGTTCACTTGTCTTCATACATGGCCAGCAAATGGTCATGTCTGTCCTTGTAAAGAATGCACATCCATGCCTGCAGAGAAAGCAATGTATTCTCTAGCATTATAGTCAAGCAGCTGTAGCCACAGCCTGATACACTACGTTTCTGCAAATATTTGGAGGGATTGGCACTTTCATGTCCTATGGCTACATTCTGGGAAAATCCACTGCTTCCTCTAATCATGTCTCTCTCCTTCTCTTTCGCCCATGTCCCTTTCCCTTCAGAGCCAGAGCCACAGTTGGGCACGCTAATCCTTAGCAATGTTACTCCTGACAGCTTCAACGTGTCCTGGACCGCTCGAGCCGGGCCTTTTGCAAAGATTGTTGTCAATGTTAGCGATTCTCACTCGCTGTATGAGCCCCAGCAATTCACGGTCTCAGGAGACACACAGCACGCTCACGTCACGGGCTTGGTGGAGAACACTGGCTATGACGTTAGTGTGGCAGGGACCACCTCGGCTGGGGACCCCACCAGGCCCCTCACTGCCTTTGTCATGACAGGTACTCATTTAGAGGTTCTTGCTTGTCTGTTTAGAATTCTGAGATGGGGAGCAGGGGAAAGGTGACAGACATTCTAAAGGGAAATTCAACCCCAAATACAGTCTTCACCCCGGATGTAAATGTCTAAGTGAAGGGAGAGCAGATCCTATGGCAGAGATGGGTATTTCACAGCCCTTTGTGGGAAATGGAGACCGTGTGTTCGACAGCTCCATGAAATCTCCAGGGATTTCCCTGCCTAGCTTTACGGGCTGATCCATATTGTAGCGATTCTGGCTGAAGAGTGAGTTCTAAGTAACAGCCAAGAGCAGGAATTTTGTCCATAAATCATGCTATGTAAGGCAGTTTATAAACTACCTGCCCCAGAAATGCAGTAATTTATCTTTTTCTTTAAAAAAAAAAAAAAACTTTGTCTTAAATCAACATCTACAACAGATTACTGAAGGTTTGACCTAGGATAGCAGATAAATCCAAACTTAATTAAAGTTTACCCATTTATTGAATGTGACCTCTAACCTCTCTTTGAATTACGTAAGAATTGCATAAAGATGTGGCCTTCCATTCTCTTGCCTGAGATTATCCCAAATCAATGGCAAAGACTGCAAATGGTGTCGATTTACCAAATCTCTAGCCTGACAAACCTCAGGAAATATTTAGAAGTCTCTTGCCTTCCACTAATGATAATTTTCAGGAGACTGACTTTGCCTGCTGATTCTCACATTAAACCAGGCCTCTCCCAGCATCTAAACTGCTGCCAGTAAGATATGTTAATACGTTCAATTAAATATTTAATTGGAGGCAGCCGTGATGACCTCGAAGCGTGAGGGTTTTGATATCAGGCCTGAGTGGTTTCTGATCTTCTCCCACATCTTTTTAGCTGCATAACCTTAGCTGGTGTTTAACTGCTCTGAATTCCAATTTCCTTATGAATGAAGAAAGGACACCCACAGCTACTTGGGGCAGCCCTTGTCTCAGGAATTAAATGGATACAATGAACTTTAATGGCCTGGCATCCAGCAGGCATCTTACAGATACTGGGTTCTTTCCATTTCCTAGCAATAGGAGGGGAGCTGTGTTCTGAAAAATAAGCCACAAGTCTAGACAGAAACTCAGCAACTGTTGTTATGAAACTATGACTTTCTTACGATTTTTAAGAGAACACGTACATGTTTTAATGGGAGACCAGAAAGTGGTTATATTTTCTGTCCCGTTGCCTACTGTGAATTCAGTCGTTCAGACAAGTCTTCAAATGCAGAACATGCTCATTTCTGTGTGGGGCGGGGGAGGGAGCGGTGGGGACTTCCATTCTGTCCTGTCCCAAGCCATGAGATGAGCAGGAGGGGAGGAATGGCTCCTGGTCAGTCAGGCCCTTACTTGTCGCCTTACCTCCAGCGGGACCTCCCACAGAACAGAGAGGAGAGAGGCAGGCTGGGAGTGCTGGTCTTGGGAATCCTAGATCTGGTTACAGCATTGTCTCAGCTAATCCTTGAAGTGAAAAGACCCTGAGTTTTAAAAGAAGCATATTTTTTAAAAAGGAAAAGAAAAAAAAAAAAGCTGAACATGAATGACTATAAATAACAAGCCCTTGATTGACTAATTAGCCTGAACGCCCTCCTTTTCATTGGAATCCACCGCTTTGATGGGGTGGTGGTGCAAAAGGGCTAGCTACCGGAGAGAGGCACCATTTATCCAAACAAAACTCAGCAACAGAACTTGAGACCCTTGTCTTGCAGACAGAGAAGCCTCTTTGCACAGGATATGCGATTTCATCTCTGCCTTTGATAGAGTTACAATTTGGGAGAGAGCCTTACATGGTAAAAAAAAAAAAAAAAAAAAGCCTCAAAACACAGCAAGTGTGTTAAATAAGTGCAGGTCCAAGCTACAACAAAATTTAAATCTCTGCTTCAGGAATGAGGGCATTCATTCACTTGTTCATTCAATCACCAAAATATTTTTTTTAAACATTTTTCTTTACATCCCGTGGATTAGGCTCCGGGTATCAGTGTAAGGTCATTTATCTCTTTGAACGTTTCTATTTAGAAGCAATGGAAAAGGCGCCTCTAAATGAGGTGGGGCTAAAGAAACCTTGGTCATGGAGTTCCCAGCCCCACGCCGCCTCCAGTGAAAACCAGTCACCAATACCATGTTTTGTTCTGCTAGAGGCACTGGGCCTTCTACACCAATCCTACTTAAGCCTCCAGACTTGCCAGCCCTGATGGAGTCGACTAATTAGACGTTGGCTCAGGGTGTGGAAAGAGCATTGAGCTTGGAATCAGATGGCCTGGGTGGGAGGCCAGCTTAGCCATCCAGTAGATGTGTGATCCTGGATAAGTTATTGACCTCCGTTTCCTGAGATGTCATGGGGGTGAGGGGACAGGTAACAATAGCTACTTCACAGTGTCATTTATATAGGAAAACGGATGTGAAGCCTAGTCAGTTGGGAAGTAATGGCACTTAGAAACTTAAGTGATATAAGCTCAGTCCTTTTGGAAATCCCAGTGTGTGAAGACCCCTTGGCACCTAAGAAATAAGAGTGCCTCGGACACAGATGTTTGGTAAATGAATGAATAGATGACAACAGAACTTGCTAAAGATCCAGACATGTCTTTATCTCCTGACTTTATCCAGGAAAACAAACAGCCAAAGAATTAACAAATCCTAGTATTCCTTACTAGGCCACGACCATGATTTGTTAATTCTGACACATGAAAAAAATCTTACCCCCTCCCTCTAGTTCAGCTTATGAGGATATATGTCACTAATGGGCCTCATCAACTTGATTCAAAATGCGAACCAGAAGTGGGATAAACATATGAGGTATACCAAAAAGAAAGTACATATAAGTATATTTGGGAGGAAAAAAAGTTGATTTCCTTCAAGACCTTCAGAAGAAAGTGGGAGAGAGAAAGGGATCCAAAACCAACATAAGCTATCCAATTTTATAGGGAAAAATTCATGGCCTTTGGAGTAAGACCCAGCTAAAAACCTTGCTCTGTCACATCCTAGCTCTGTGACTTTGGCCAAACCAATCAACCTCTTTGAAACTCAGGGTGTTTTGCCAGCATAATGGGAGTAACGTCTATCGCACAGGCCTGTTGAGAGACTGACATGAGATATCATCTGGCGCCCAATAAGCTTTTACTAAATATTCATTTTCTCAGAATTTAACACATTTAGTGATTGGGTATCTGTCGGTATTCGTGGAGACGTGTGCTATCTCAGCAGGGTCAGTGCTGCTAACCTGAGTTATTTTCACTCCTCCCTTCTTTCAGAGGCCCTGCCCCTTCTGGAAAACCTAACCATTTCCGACATTAATCCCTACGGGTTCACAGTTTCCTGGATGGCATCGAAGAATGCCTTTGACAGCTTCCTAGTAACGGTGGTGGATTCTGGGAAGCTGCTGGACCCCCAGGAATTCACACTTTCAGGAACCCAGAGGAAGCTGGAGCTTAGAGGCCTCATAACTGGCATTGGCTATGAGGTTATGGTCTCTGGCTTCACCCAAGGGCACCAAACCAAGCCCTTGAGGGCTGAGATTGTTACAGGTATTTGGATTCAAGTGAGCCATTTTCTCACCTCCTTGGTTCTCTTCCGTGTAATCCATCTACCACATCACCATGGTTTTAACATCCTTGTCCATTTTCTCTATGTAACCCATAGATGTGGCCTGCTCTTTTGTGTTTCCCCCCACACTCTCCCTTGTCTTGTGTCTCTACTGAGCACTCCTCTTCTCCCACTCCAGAAATGAGAAGGTCGAAATGTTTGCCACGTGGCATCCCAAATCTTTCAGACCATGTCTTGTCCATAGTTGTTGTGTGCTTACTCCACATCATTCTCTTCCGTATACATCCTGGCTGGTCCTCAGCTATGTTTCAGCCTTCTCAAAAGAAATATACCAATGAGTATATTTCAGAAACTTATTTTTTGCAACATTTGCCATCTCAACATCTCAACTGTGGATCTTGATAAACTTACCAGGTGGGCTCGTTATTGGAAACCCAGCTGCAAACTTACTTTGTTGGTCAACACTAATGTCATAGAGATTCTTTGACACAGACTAAATCCATAATTTTCTCAAGACTAATAATAATTCCTTCAGACATACAGCATTAACAACTTTAACAGTTAAAAATCTGTGTTTCCCAAAGTCTTTCCAGATTTTACTAGTTCCGTAGGATATCCAAAGGTCCTGCTTGGTGAAGAAGTTCCATGTTCAAATAAGTTTGGAAACACAGTTTGATACGATCCTTGACAAAAGGCTTTACAGAATATCCCAATGTGCATGTGTCTCTCCTGAGAGGGGCTCACCCAGGCAGTATTTCCCAAACTTATTTGACACCAGATACCTTTTAAGGAAGAAGAACAAACAGGAATAGTTTGCTCTGAGTACACTTTGGGAAACTCAGCTCTAAATTCACCTTGACAATGAGTTTTGTCTAGTGAAGGCAATCCAAGATCATATACCTTGAGTCCAAAGTATGGAGCATAAGAGGTTCCAAGCCTCAGTTCTACCCTCTGGACTCAACAAAGTCAAGAGTAGGAGCCTTCTTGAGTACAACAGTTCCAAGAAAAACGCAAGAAGACCATAACATTTGTAACATTTTAAAAGCCATTTTGCTCAGGATCAAGGGAAATATAATCAGCAGTATCATCATGGGCAACTCTACAGATTGTTAATAGTGGTTTATTTGTCTTTTCAAAAAGAAAAGAAAAAGGTCTCACAGAGGATGGGCACTCAGCCATTGGAAGACAGCAAATGTAAACAAGTTACTGGCTTTGAACTTTGTTTAATAATGCATGGGAGGGGCCAAAGCGGAGTCCAGATGTGGATTTATAGAATTGCTTTTAGACAAAACTCACATATGCAAGCATCCATTTGGCTTGTATTGGATGTGTGAATTCCATCTTTCCCTTCTCCTGGACCTACTTGTTTATGTTGAATGATTTTATTTTTGGGATCTCAGGACACTTCTGTCCTTGAGAGCCAGGGCCACTGCATACTGATAACCCCCCCTGCAGAAGAAGACTGCACGGGCTGGGAAATGATGTTCTCTCTCCTCCTCCCACCATGTTCTCCTCCTCTAGAAGCCGAGCCAGAGGTGGACAACCTTCTGGTTTCAGATGCCACCCCAGATGGTTTCCGTCTGTCCTGGACAGCTGATGAAGGGGTCTTCGACAATTTTGTTCTCAAAATCAGAGATACCAAAAAGCAGTCTGAGCCACTGGAAATAACCCTACTTGCCCCCGAACGAACCAGGGACATAACTGGTCTCAGAGAGGCCACTGAGTATGAAATTGAACTCTATGGAATAAGCAGTGGAAAGCGATCCCAACCAGTCCGAGCCCTAGCAACCACAGGTACCGTACATAAACAGGAGAGAACCAAGAAAAGTCCTTGACTTGGGGGTCTTCTCTCACAGGGCTGGGAAATTGCAAGAGCTTTGAATGCAGCCAAGCTCTTTCAATTATAGACAGTGTGAGTGTGGATAATTTGGCTGAGTCTTTATGCCAGAGGACCCTGATGCCATTTATTTAATGGAGTTGTGAGGATTGAATGAGATAATTCATGGCAAGCCCATAGCAGAGGATCTGGTGCATAGCAAGGGCTTGGCAAATAAAAACTATTTAGAGTTGCATTATTTTCATTAATACATGATCATCATTACAGTTAGTGCAATTTTTAAATTCCAAAGACCCTTCTTTCGGCCTATTATCTTATCTTTTTTTTTTTTATGCAAAAGTACCTCTGGGCAAATGTTTGACCTTACAGTGTGCAGGGGATAATGGAGAAGTGGCACCTCCACCTAGAAAGATGAATATTTATCAGCTGCTACGTGTGAATAATCAGTACCATGCTCAGGAAGGATCGAAGGAGGGGGCTGGCAAGGTCAAGGGCTGCTCTTCATAAAGCTCATGATTTTATACGATAGACATTCATAACAACTCTAAAAAGCACTGGAGGGGGAAGTGCAAACCCTTTTCCATATGAGTTGTTTCAAGGAGAAAAAAAAATTGATTGGTAATAGGACTCTTTAGAGGCAAAGACCTCTAACAGGTGTGGTGAATTCCTTCCTGAAACTAAGGGACAAGGAGAAACACAGCATTCCCTAGAGACAAACTGCTTCAAAGAGAAATCAGAAGAAAGAATCAAAGGTACAGGGAGAGGTAAAAGGGATTAAGAAAGGGTGTAGCCCAGCCTCCTCCGCTCGTGCAGGAAGAAGCTGAGGTCAGGTCCACAAAGATGTGATTTGCCTCCTGTCGCACGGCCAGGTTTGGTATAGAACCCAAATGTGGTTATTTTAATACTTATTTTAATACTATTTTATTATTTTAATACTTATTTTAATACTATTAAATGTAAGCAGGCTGGATGACAGATAACCAGTGAATGTACGTACTTGCCGTCTCTGACGGGCATAGAGCACGTTAGCCAAAACCTTCTCTTTGTGCAGAGATGGGTATATTATCATGTCAAGTTGCAGGACACTGAGCTCAGAGAAGCCACCTACAGAAACCGTAATCAATGTCTGTGGGCGTGGAGGAAACGCTGAAGTGCAGAGGGCAATCCAGTCAGAGGAAAAACCCTGTTTCTTATTAACTTGGACACCCTACCCCTGGGATGCGGGTCCTTGTCTCCTCCTCCCTGTGGCTGCCCATAAAACAACTTCAGATCACAGACAGAGCCTGATTTTGACCTTGGTTTATAAACACTGCCTTTCAAAGTTTACTTCTGATCACTGATTTTGTTTTGCCAATCTTTTTTGCCAGAGGCCCTGCAGTTCTAAAGCAAAAAAACAATGAATAATCAAGAGCCTTTTTTTTTTTTTTTTGTAAAAACAGAAAGGAAGGAAGGAAGGAAAAAAGAAAGAAAGAAAAAGAGAAAGGAAAGAAAAGAAAGAAAGACCCTGCTCTTTCAGCCTTTTCTTTGATTTCTTGTTTTGGGGCTTTGTATTTCACAGCCAGAGAGAAGCAAGAGTGTGTGTGTGTGCGCGTGCGCGCTTGCAGGTGCATGTATGTGCACATGCGTGTGCACACGTGTGCCTGCACCCCTTGCTCAGGTACTTGGAGAGGACAGGACAGGTGACTCCATTAGACAGCATATGTCTAATTCCACCGTCACCTCGTCAGTCTTATAAAGTTTCCCTCTTGTTTTTCCAACCTTCCTCCTCTTTCCTTCCCTGCACAGTTGTAAACCCTTCTCTGAGATGTTCTGTTCCTCTTTATCCTCATAAAAGCTGCTGCAGGGTCTCCTTCACTCCCTGAGCACAGGCTGCCTGCCCTGAGGTGCCCAGGGCAGAGAGGCCAGTTAAGGGCAGTGCACCTGGTTGGTCTGGAGCCTCTGGGTAGACCCCTGGGAGTCCACGAGCCTTGTTCTACCAGCTGAGCAGCCTTGGGCAATTCTCCTTTCCTCTCTGAGCCTCAGTCCCCTCATCTGGCAAGTAGAATTTAACTCAGAATTCAGCCACGAGGTTTAAATAAGATAATGAATGTCAAGTACTTTGTTTCCTTGCCCATTGTAACAATATTAATTGTTACTATGTTTGGGTGTAAATTTTATTTTTTAATGGGCCACTCAGTTCAAAATTCAAAAATTAAAAAAAGACATATAGCAAAGTCTCTATTCAACTCTCTCCCTGCTCCCTAGTTGCTCTGTATACAGGTAGTCAATATTACCAGTTTCTTGTCTGTACGAATAGACAAAATTAGACTTAACATCTATACTCTTTTTAAATTTTTTTTGCGGGGAGCATTCTTCCACACTCTGGTATGTGTGTTTCTTGCTTATTAGATCTGAGAGATAATCCCATATGCCTTATTTACTTCACCAGTCCCCTACTGATGGATACTTAGGTTGATCCCTGTTTTTGCAATGGCTCCTCTTCCTTCTGTGGTCTGAGCCACTTCCCAATAGTCATGGTCCCTCTTTGGAAAGCCCAGAGTTGCCAGGAGCATCTTTTGCCTCTGGGGAGCTAAACGCCAATGTGCCTCTGTGCACCAAATGGAGGGGCCCCGGAATAGACAGAAAATAGTTAAAAATCCAACCACAGAGAATGATGACTTTGTCTTTCTCTTCTGGAGTTTATAGTGCTTAGGGAGGAGCCTGAAATGCTTCCTTAACCTGTCCCCGTCACCACCCCCAGACGCACAGCCTCGGTACTCCCTTCCACCCCGGAGGCCCGTGGGGGTAGTCAGTGCCCCTGCTCCCAACTCCCATAAGGTGCCCCCCTCCCATCCCACCAGTCCTTTCCCAGCCAGACAACCTCGCAACTCCCCTGCCCAGTTCCAGCTCAGAATGCACTCGAAACCACAAACCACCGAGTTGCAAGGGCACTGTGTCCGGGGGCCTGACTCTGCAGCTCTGCAGAGACCTTGCTTGGCAGTCTTCCCTTCTATATGAACCAGGCCCTTTATGCTCGGTGCCTCTGGCTCCGACTCCCGTGAGGCCTAAAGACAGTGACCACCATTTATAAAGCATGCGCTCCATGCCACGTGAGCAGGGCCACTGACACCCTTTTATCTCCGTCAGTCACCATGACACAGCCAGACCAGGGGAGCGCCGCATTCAGCCCCATTTCACAGATGTGGAAACTGAGACCTAAGGGGGTAAGGTGTTTTTAGTTAGGAAGGCCAGAATGGAATCCAAACCCAGGTCAGTCTAACCCCCAAATCCTTGCTCTTAAACCATACTGGCCCCAGTAGCTGTCCCTGGAGCCTCATACGGGACCTGGGACATATGAAGTATTCAATAAAAACATGTTGAAGGGAGAATACATTTTTTAAAATGACTGTCCGTGGCCATATAATTAAAGCCATGGACATTGGCTCCAGATTTGGGGTGGCAACTTTTTATGCAAATTGCAGATCGAAGCCCTCTTCAACCTCCTTGGGAGTTTTTAGCAAATCCAAATGTTTCCCTAATGGAGTTTTTATTGAAAACCAAGTGTCCACTTGGGAAAAGAGATAGAGGCATCGCCTTGCTTGTGTCTCTCAACTTTTCAATAGTATGATTTAGTTGCCGTGTGAGGCTCTATCTGCAGGTTCCCGTTGACCATCTCCTGTACTGTGGAGCTAGAGACTTATGGGCACTATATTTATGGCAGAAGGAGATACGCTAAAATAATAAATAGTCTGCCACATGGAGGAAGGCCTATCATCCAAAAATAGCACAGCACTGAGCCTGGACGCCCATTACTACTGGGCCATTCCGTCAGGTTATTATGCATAGCTTTTTCCCTGCTGCCATTCTGACCAAGCATGGCCCTCAGGCGCGCACGATATATGACGCTACTAATTCTTACGGCTTCTAAGACAGGGCAGATGATATTGCCGTTTTGTAGATGAGAAAACCTGGCATCTAGAAAAAAAAGCTGTGGCCACAAAGATATATTTAAATGTGCTGAGGTCTGCAGTCAGAGTGAAGGGCAGCGTGGACCAGGCTAGCCACGGGAGAGCCACAGTGCCTGCATTTACACACCTCACTGGGTTTTATTTTCAGCCAACCTTATCTAGCCCTTTCCCGGGAGTTACTGCAAAATCCAGGGTAGCCCATGGGAAAAAGAGTTCTATGGGGAAGGAAATAAAGAGAGAACAATCACGTTTACTGAATTCTTACTATCTGCCAGATTCTGTTAAGGGTTTTACACCCACTAGCTCTGCTAATCCTGAAAATATTCCTGTAGGTGGGCATCACTTTTCCCACTGGGGCTCACAGAAGTGAAGGGATCTTCCAGGCTCCAGAGCCCTTGTGGTTTCCAAAGCTTGGTTCTAAGGAGAGGGCAGAACCCCCGTCAGCCACAGAGTCTGACTACCAGGAGGAAAGGCTACAGGAGAAAGCCAAAAGAGGAGAGAAACAGAAATGGAGACGGGGAAAAACATCTCCCCCCAAGTGGGCTGTGGGTTTTAAAACTTAATGATCAGCGTGGGTTGGAGAGGGAAAAGATGAGAAATGAGCTCCCTGGAGACCTGAAAATTGTTTCCTGATGTCTCTGGTTAAACATGGTCAGCTGAAGAGGGCAAAGAAAGAAGCCAAAAAATACACAGAGAAAAGCCAACGGAACCTGGGTTTGGGGGGATGGTATTTATGTAGCAGGAACTGTCCCATGGGCATGGTTCTCCCTGCAGGTAGACCCAGTGCACAGGACGTGTTCATTTTTCTTGCTCTCCCGGCTCTGGACCTCCATCCAGTTCTGGGAATGGGTTCGTCGAGGTCAGTTTCCATGTCAGTGTCATGTCCAGGATCCCTCGGCTGGGCTGGCTCTGCTGCCCCGTCCTGGGCCCAGAAAGGTCACACCACAACAATATGCCTTGGAGAACCAAGCCTCAGTTTCCTCCTCTATAAAATGGCTACCACACTTTCTTCTCAGGGGTTTCTAAATGAGGATTAATCCTTATCAGTTACAAAGAACCGTACAATGGTCAAGTCTTGGTATCATTTAATAAAAGGAACTAGAAAGCAAAGGTTTGGAAAAAATGCTAAAACTGAAAAATTATAGGATGGCATATTCCAAGCTGTGAAACCACCAGCCTCACTTCCTCAGATATCAGCTGTGGTGTTAACATTCTACTTGAGTGAAACCTAATGGCAGCTCCATGGCCCTGGGCCCTGTACCTGAATGCGAGAACAATCGTCTCTATCAAGTCACAACTTGACCACAGATCACCACATTCTCCATCCTAAAGGCTTGGCTCAGACACGAACTCTAGAAGCTGAGTTTTCCTAGATAAGGAATCCAGGAAAAATTACTGATGAGCAAGATAGTTGACTATTTCTGGGTTTCTCCTGTGCTTTCTCCTTGACAGCCATGGGCTCTCCAAAGGAGATCAGTTTCTCAGACATCACTGAGGATTCGGCCACTGTCAGCTGGATGGCGCCCTCTGCCCAGGTGGAGAGCTTCCGGATTACCTACGTGCCCATTGCAGGAGGTAGGGCACTGGAAGGAGGGGTTGGAAGGAGCAGCCTGGAGGGTTTGAGTGGGGTAGTGAAGAGACTCTGATAACTCCCATCCTCCCAAATATGACCAAAGAAAATTACTTCCTTCTGTTGGAGACCATATCTGTAGGTTTCATTTGTAAAGTGCTGTAAGATCCTTGGAAGAACTGCCTTGCGAAGGGTCATTTTATGAAGACCCTCTTCCAGCCTTGAAACCCTCGACTCCTATAAGAAATGGACCCCAGTGTTGTTTTCACACAATGGCAGAGACTCTAAATACACTGGTCCTTTTCTCTTTGAGCACACTCATCTGAAAGCTGATCCTGACCTGGCTGTATGTGAGGTTTTATCCTTTGGTCCTCAAATCTGTCTGTCTCAGTAGAGATGGGGAGTTGTGACTTTGCTAGTAGAAGTGGGAGTTCTAGTTCAATGCACAGGGACCACAACAAAGACCGTGGTGGGGGCAGGGGGGATGCACCGTCAGATCTGCTTAACCCAAACCTAAGACAATGGGTTAAATAGACCAGATATACATTACATAGTGAGCTTTTCATATTCTCTGTGGGATAAATAAATAAATAAAAACATGCCAGCTCTCTACTGAATGGAAACTTGCCATTTTTAGCACATTGTGACTTCATGTTTCTTCCCCTCCTGGCTTGGTTTTTGGCATCTGCACGGGTGGAAAAAAAGCATTATACAAAAAGTAAGACCTCTTCTCTTATGCCAGAGGATAGGAGCAAATGAGAGGAAGTCAAGAAAATGGTACTGGATCAAGATATAATTTCATTTCCAAATCGGATACACCCATTCTTGGGGCAACAGTAAGTTTCAGTGAGGTTCACCATTCCCGATCTTGCTTTTGCCATGTTCCAGGGACACCGTCAGTGGTAACTGTGGATGGAACCAAGACTCAGACCAGGCTGCTGAGGCTCTTACCTGGAGCAGAGTACCTTGTCAGCGTCATCGCCATGAAGGGCTTCGAGGAAAGCGAACCAGTCTCAGGCTCGTTCAGCACAGGTGTTTTTCTCACCTTCCGCACTATTGCTCATGACTCAGCAACTGGAAAAAATTTCTTTTATTTGGGAAATCCTAGTGGAAAATGGACTGAATTTGGACCACCAGAGATCTCATTTCTGGCCCGTCCCTGGCCTGTTATAGGCAGGGACCCTTGATTTCATCCTGAACTGCCCTGGGCCTTCATTTCTTGGGTTAGTGTGGAAGAAAGAACACACGTTTGGGAGTCATACTGCCCTGTCTACCACTTCTAGATACATGAGCTGTCAGTTACTTTCTTCAGGATCTAGTTTCCTTCTCTGTAAAATGGGTACAATTCTGCTTTCTTTGCAGGGTGCCATAAGAATCACATGACATGATTTATGTAAAACATCTGTAAATGGAAATGACTGTGCACGTTAATCCACCTCCTTCCCTCCCTGCCTATAGAGGAAACCCTCTGTAATGGTGATAGCTATAAAGTAGCTACTCCTGGCTGGGCTGCTACTGCATTCCAGGCACTGTCCCTAAACCCTTTGCATTTAAACCATGCAAATGCCTACGTCATTCCCATTTTACAGAGGAAACAACTGAGATCCAGGGAAATGAAATACCTTGGCCAAGGCCACCTAACTAGTAAAGTAAATGCTGAAGCAAATTTGAACTTAGGTCAGTCTCACTCCAAACCCTGTGTTCTTCTAAAATAGAGGATTGTTTTCCTATTACAACCTGATTTGTACAGCATACTGTAAGGAGGGGGAAATAATGAATTGCATTGAAGGAGAATGAAGTGGAAAATTTCTCTTCAGGCAGCCATGTCTCTGAACAATTTATCCTTTGATAGGCGAGCAATTATCCAGTCTAATCCATTAAGGGATCCAAAGAATGGGCCTCATAGGAAATTTTAAAAATATCCTAATAGTCGAAAAAAGTTGATTATATGCAATTATAACATCCCATCTGAACCCAGAGTCCTGTCCACCCTGCCACACAGGCCCTTATTTCCCCCATAGAAACCTTTCATTCATGGACTTTCCGGTTGCAAACGCTGGACGCACTCCCTCCTGAGGCCCATTGTCCTGGGCATTTAAAGGAGATTCTGTACAGACAGGCTGAAGCAGGAAGGAGCTTGGAGTTGACCATGTGGGCTCCCAAAAGTACTCTGCCTCCTTCTGCTTCTCTGGGCCGTCATCACATCTCTTGGGGCTCAGGAGCCTCATCTTTGAAATGAGCTGATGACAGCTGACCTCCAGCCTCCCAGGGCCGTTGTCCTGGAGTAATTGAGTCATAAATGCAAATGCAAGAGGATAATAGTCCTCTTTAGGTTAGTTTCTGAGAAAGGGCTGCTGGGTCATCACAGGGGTCGGTTAAACGGGCCAGCGCCCTTTGTCAGTACAAGTCACTTGGCAATCATATCGAAGACTCCAGTAACGTTAATAGTCATGTTACTAATAGCAGCCACCGTGAGTGAGCGCTGCCCCAGCACGTCTCACACACGCAAGGTCTCGTTCATCCATCTAGCAGCCGCCCTCTGACACCTGAAGAAATGAGGTTTGGAGAAGGGCACACAGACGCTAGGCAGAGAAGCCACGATAGAACCGGGGCCTGCCAGCCTCTGGGCCCTGGCTCCGTGTTGCCCACCAGCCCCCTAACCGGAGCTATCATTCAAAGCCCAGAAGAGCCTCGGGCAGCCTTGACTCTGGGAGGCTCCCTGTTTTTGTAAGTTCTTTCCCTGGGAACAGTGATGAACCATAATGATAACCCTCATCATACGTTCAGCCCTTTCCAGTTTATATAGCTCCTTTCCACCTATACTATCATGTGAGCATCAGAATAACCCTGAGGATAAATCCAGGCAGAATGAGGATCTCCATTGTACAAGTGGGGAAACAGAGACCCAAGAGAAGCCAGCCAGCAAGGGAAGAAACCATGACTCAAAGCCAGGGCGCCCTGGCTCCAGACTCAGGACGTGAACTGTGTGCGCACCAGGCGCCACGTTCCAACACCAGGAGTCCAGGAGCAGTGAGACAGCCGAGCAGCTGTGGGCTGGTGTCTGACCCCACCACTGCCTATCTCTTCAATATATCATCGTCTGTCTTTGCAGCTCTGGATGGCCCATCTGGCCTGGTGACAGCCAACATCAGCGACACAGAAGCCTTGGCCATGTGGCAGCCAGCCATTGCCCCCGTGGATAGTTATGTCATCTCCTACACAGGGGAGAAAGGTAAGGCCATGTCTAAGACCCTCCCCACCAGGAGGAGTGTCTGTCCTGCTGTTCCCCTCCTCCCTGTCACGTTTGGACCAGGAAAGCAAAAATACGTGGGAAGCTTGGAAAGGCCAGTGATGTTCTTGAGGCTCTCAGAAGAGACTAATGGGCTGAAGCCGGGGCTGGGCAGGTCGGTGTGGAGGGCCTGGCCAGCGGGGGGCAAGGGAGGCCTCACCCATCCTCCTCTGCTTGTTGACAAGTGAAGAGCATCAATGTTGTGGTTACACCAAGGAAGGCCGGTAGGCCATTTAAAGGAAAACAAAGGGCACATTTCCAGCCTGCATGCGTTTCCCTAGCCTGTCCCCCCCTCTCCTGCGAGTCTCCCTGCCTGTCACCGTGAGCCTCCCTCTCTAGGCAGCAGCTCCCATCTCTTACAAAGAATGAGTTCAAAATCTAGAGTCTTAAACAGGCTATTCCAGGAGGCACTGGGGAGGCTGGGCCTCTTAGAGGCTACAGAGGAGTTAACAGATGCAATTGAGAAATCAGAAATTATTTCTCCTTGTCCTTGCAGACATCTGTGCTGATTAATATACTTATTTAGCCGACTAAACACTTGTTTGGGGCACCAACACATCACGGCCACCAAAACGTAAGATCAAATACAAGTAAGAGAGAGGAGAAAGAGATTGTTTTTCAGTGAATGAATTCATGCTTTTGTAATGAGCTACCCTAGAAAAAGACTTTACTATCTGAATCCCAAAGCACGTGTAAGTTTCCTATTTTATGGTTTAGGATTGTTTTACTTGCAGTGACAACGTGAAGGGATGCCATAACCTGTGCCTGGGGCCTCTGAAAATCTGCATTCCCCCCCTGGACCACTACCTAAGAGAGTTCTTTATGAGCATAGAGCAAGTTGGAGAGTGAGGGAAGAGAGATTTCGGGGTTTATTCTTTTTACTCCTCTATTCATTCATCTCTTCAGTTCTTAAATATTCCCCATGAGCGAACTCCTCCGAGTCAAGGAAGCTGGTGATGTTGTATCTACAGTAAACCAGAGCATAGTTCACAGGGATTATGGGATTAGTAGATGCAGACCTAGAAAGGGGCCTGGTCCAGGAGATGGGGTCTCATGGATGATAAACAGGATGATCAACTGATCCCAGGATACCCAGGACTTTCCCAATTCCAGCACTGAAAGTCCCACACCCTGGGAAATCTCTCAGTCCCTGGCCAGCCAAGGTGGTCGGTCACCTGTGATCAGGAAATAAACACACGCACCTGGCGCCATGTTCTGGTTTCCACCACTGGACTTGACCCAGTGGGTCTGCGAGGCACTAACCAGGCTCTAGAGCATCTGCAGCTGCCCAGTTTTTGTGGTTCTCCAGCCTCGTGATTTAACAACATTTGTCAGATTATAAAAGGACATGAGAGTAAGTGAAAAAGAGGGGAAAGCAAGTGACGAGACACATTAAATCTGGGCAGCCCGAGGCTTGGAGACGTTAGCTGCAGCTCTCGTTCCTGCACCTCCGCTGCAAAGCTCCCCCCGGCCAGCACCATGTGGAAACACCTCCTGACCCCCAGGCCCCCTTCCTCCTGATTTGGTGCCTGGAAAAATCCAGTCTCCATATGATAAATCCTTTGTGCATGAGGTGAGTGCTCAAGAGAGAGAACAGGGTGTGAGTCATTTCAGAAATCAGACCTGCTTTTCTACAGGGTCACTGAAAGTTTGTGTTAGAAGTAGGTGTGTGTGCCATGTGCCAAGCGTGCTGACGGCTAGCGGTCACCGCTCGGTGTGTTTCTTGTTTAGTGCCAGAAATTACACGCACAGTGTCCGGGAACACGGTGGAGTACGCTCTGACCGACCTCGAGCCTGCCACGGAGTACACGCTGAGGATCTTTGCAGAGAAAGGGCCCCAGAAGAGCTCAGTCATCACTACCAAGTTCACAACAGGTATGAAGACGCCCACCCACGGCCTCCGTCTTAAACTCCAACCCCTTCCTTCTCAAGTCAGGTCCTTGCAATGTGATGACATCCACATCAGCTAAGTTCACCAGTGCCCACTCAATCGGGACCTTAAGAAACACACCGTTTCCTTTTGAACTGAAATGACCTTGTTCTCCCCCCGGACTAAGAAACGGTTTTAAGAGGAGGGCTTTTTTAAAGTGGAAAACCAGTCCCTACTGGCCCTCAACCCAGTATTTAATGATCCCTGTTCTAGGCAGGGAAATATTTTTAAGAGAAGGATTTTTCAGGCACGTTTTCCTAGATGTCCATTGGGTTTTTATACATTGAGATCCTTTTACAAACTGTAGCAGGCAGGGAAAGAGAAGAAGCAGCCTCTCAGTAGGGATGAATGCCAATATCAGCATTCATCTATCCACTTATCGAGGAGCAAGAGAGGCTGGGAATTATGTTCACAGCTGTGTCTTTCTTCCCAAATCCACCCAAGGCCAATCAAGAGTGTGTTGGGCTCAGGAAAATCTGGCCCTTGGGATGAAACGAACCACAGAGAATTCTGCCTTTGGAGATCGCATGATTCAACCCCCTCGTCTACGGGGTGGGGAAGGTTCTGCCCAAGGTCATATAGGTCAATGGTAGGGAAAGGACTTGAAGCCAGGCTTCCTAAAAGCCCAGCCAAGGGAGTTTTGTCCTAGAGTTGCTGACACATTTGCTAACAAATGACTTATCCTCTGCAGACCTCGATTCTCCAAGAGACTTGACTGCCACTGAGGTTCAGTCAGAAACTGCCCTCCTCACCTGGAGACCCCCCCGGGCATCTGTCACCGGCTACCTATTGGTGTATGAATCCGTCGATGGTACAGTCAAGGTATCTTGAAGTATATAAACTCCCCGCTACTGTTTGAAACATGTACATGATCCTCAGCAGAGAGAAGAATCACCCCGGGGCTGTTTCTCCATCTCAGTGCAGCTAGAAAGCTGAAAATAAAAAAAAAAAATTAACAGGGACGGGATGCCATGCCAGACCTTCTGAATCATATGCTCCGGCCTCCCTGTCTCATTTTAACCAGACTCCAGTTTTGATGGCCCGCCAAGGTCAAGAACCACTGCTCACAAGATTTGAGGACATTTTAGGAGCTGGATGCTGGTCTTTTAATGTTTTATTGAGCAAAAGCCAGAGGCTTCTTGAGCATCTTTGCCATATATACAATCTCGCAGATGGCATCATTCCATTATATATTGAAACATACATCACCACGCTCCTAAGACAACAACTGTTAATGCTATTTACAGCAATTGTTACTGATATTCTCTACCCATGAACATCTTTTCTTTTACTTTCCAATTCAAAATAACTTTAACCCTTCCTTTCACACAAGTGAACTTGATCTCTAAACTTTATTTTCTGAACTTGTTATTGAACTTTTCGTTTTGGTCATCGCACTCTACATTTCTAAGATCTTTTCCTTATTCCCTGCTCATCCATCTTTCTCTAGCGTATTGTTTGTATTCCGCTTCTTCTCTTAATCTCTAAGATGGATGATATTTAATTCTACAACCTGCATAGTGTCTCTTCCAAGTTCCTTTTTTTTTTTTTCCTTTCTTTCTGTTTCACTGCTATTGTTTGGTTTGGGTCTTTATCTTTCATGTTGGAGACTTCCGCCCAATGTCCGATGGTCCTTTTGTACTTGAGCCAAGAATGAAACAGCTTATTGGGAGTTCCGATGGCAGACACAGGGCTTGTCAACTAATGAGGCTCACCGTAGAGTAAGCAAGTGCCCAGCAATTTTGTTGGGGGACTCACAAGTAGCAGTTCTGTAAGCCTTTTCTCTTGAGCTAATCCACCTCCCTAGAGGGTCCTCCAACCCCTTCAAACCAAGCTGCCAGGACCATAGCCCGAGGAAGAGCCTGGGCCCCCGCTGTGTACACACCTTCCCTTCTGTTTCCAGTGTAGCTCCACGGGGCCTGGTGGATTTGAATCCAGAGTCTTCTCTCTGGCTCAGTGTCTCCAGAGAGTACACCTCAGCCTTTCATCTGGACTGGGAAGGACAGTCATCCAGACTTGGTGTGGGGGAGGGGGGGATGGGAGAGCTTGGAATCTGTTCCTTATTTAAGCTGTTAAACAAACTTTTGTTCAGCCATGTCCCACACTGGCCTTCAAAGGCATCTTTGTTTTTGTACACATCCCATTCCTGAACTTGCTAGGCCCTGCAGCATTCATCAACCAGCTTCAGGATGGCCTCACCCACTCAGCCAACTATCCCCCAGCCTGCCCCCTCGCTTGTCACCCCACCGCATCCCTTCCCATCCGTCAGGATTCTGTGGACATCGCATGCCTCTGTCTGTCTCGTCTGTCATCTGCTTCATCCTCATGGACTTGTGCTGCCTATCCCTTCACTCTCATTTCAGGGGGTTTCAGAAGAAAATAGAGCTAAACTGGCATGTCTAATCCGCCATGTTTTACTAGAAGTGGACACACATTTCTAGTTACTCCCGTGGCCCTTCTTTGAGTTGGCATAACAACGAACTAACTCACTGCATGCATGGAGGCAAGTCCTTTACTTTCTCTGGGTGTCGTGTTCCCATCTGTAAAATGAGTGCATTGGACTCACCAGCCTTACAAGTTGCTTCCCGGCAGGCATTCTAGGACTGAGTTTACCTGAGTCCTGAGCCTCATTTCAGTCTACCCCGATTACCTAGAAAAGGACTTTGCACAGCAGCCTAGAGAGCTGAGCGGTAATTGTATCCCCAAGTAAGTCAACGAACCCAGCTTTATACCTGATCCTTCCCCAGGGACCAGACCTGGGGGCCACATAAAGGTCACCAGGTCACCGATGTCAGCCTACTGACTTACCTTCCTGCATGTCCAGTCCCCAACTGTGTATGTTTCACTCAAGAAAATAACCTGATGTAGGAGGAGAGAGTCCTGGACAGGATGTGGGGAGATAGGAGGTAGGACCAACCTCTGCCACCAACACATTATGGAGTGAGAGTGAGTCCCTCAGCTTTTCTGGAAGTCAGCCCCCCACCCCTCATGGGAAGCATCAGGATAACCTCACCTGCCCAGCGTGAGGATGCAAGAGAGCATTGCAGGGGCCTCCGCCCTGACTCACTATTGCCCACAGCTTGTCGGCCATGTTTGCAGGCAGCAGGCACCGCTGGGTTGGGTTTGCTAGCAGTGTAGGGTGAATTCCAATCCCAGACACCCAGGTCATCTGCTAAAAGGTGAATTTGCAGGCATGGGAAGCTAGAAAGAGGATTTGGAAAGGGGGAAGACCTCCTGGAAGCTGGAACTAATGTTCTCTGAACAGTAACACCGTGAGCAGTCACAAACTACGGGGGGGTGAGAGGAAGTCTGGCCGCAGAGGCGCACGCACGCCCCTCCTGGACATCTCTGTTCTAGAAAGAGACAAGCCGGGTCAGCTCAGGCTTCCACCGTGCCTGCTGAGCTACTGCAGTCATCCCCTGACTCAAGAGATCCCCACACTGACTGCATCCGAATCATTCGGGGAGCTTCTTTGATATGCACCTGGCAGAGCCCCACTTCTGGCTCCTACGATGCCGCCGGTCTGGGATGGCGCCCAGGCGTTGTATTATCTTAAAGCTTCCCAGAGGCCTGTGAAAAAGAGCCATATTAGGGACCACTGATATAACTGGTCTGAAAACCTAAACCTTTTGTCCTTTGTGTGGTTCCTCTTGCTACCATGTTAAGCTGGGTTCACTTCATTCACTTGTTCAAAAACCTTTTGGGAGTCCGCATTCCTTATCATGATAAACTTCGGATTCCATAGCTTGGCACTTAAGGCCCTTTATAATCTGGTCTTTGCCTACTTCTTCCACCACTCCAGCACCACCCAAAACCAAGTGTGGTTCAGGTCGGTCATTACCTCCTCCTCTGCCCCTTCTGGCCTCAGTGCCTTTTTTATGCTGCACTCCCCCCATCTCTGATGTCCCAGAAATGAGCATGGAGCCTGACATAGAGTGAGGCTCAGTGGATTCTTTTGAATGAAGAAATGAATGGATGGGTGAATGAATGAATGTGTCATCTGTACCCTGAGGATTTGGGTGGCAAAAAAACTGTAACATTCTTTCTTCTGCCCTTAGGAAGTCATTCTGGGTCCAGAAACCACCTCCTATAGCCTGGCGGAGCTGAGCCCCTCCACCCACTACACGGCCAAGATCCAGGCATTGAATGGGCCCCTGAGGAGCAAGCTGGTCCAGACAGTCTTTACCACAAGTAAGGGGCTCAGGGTGCAGCGGGGCCTTGAGATCGAACTTTGTGAGACAAGACGGACCCTCCACTTCTCTGACCATGACTGAATTTTTCCCTCAAATCTCTTAAAATGATCAGTGCCTGCCACTCCCTGAGAGCCCGAGGAATGTGGGTGCAGGAGGTTAAGGGCCTCGTGGTGAAAGGGAAGGAGGACCAGTAGTGAGACCTCTGGATGCAAGCCCCATCTCCACCACTTGCTCTGGGTGATTTAGGAAAGTTACTGCCACTCTGCAAGCCTCAGTTTCTTCATCTATACAGTGAGACTCACAGTAGCCCTTCCTCACAAGGACCCTGTGCAGTGTCTGAACTCCTAGCCCCAGTGTGTGGCCCATGGGCCGGGCTCATTGTAAGCCGGGTCCTGTGAACAAAGCCTGTCCGTAGTCGAAATCAAAACCAGTCCTCCCACCGAGCTGGTAGAATCATCGGGCCCCATTTTCTGCGGGGCAAGCAGAGGCTCCCAGAGACTCAGTGACTCCAGGCTCTAGCATGAGTGAGAGGCAGATCTGGGCTCAGGGATTCCGGGCCCTGGGAAGCACCCTGCGCCCTGCCACTGGGTGTCGTCCACAGATGGCCAATGTGTGAGGCCTTTCTCTGGTGAACTAAGAGGACGCACGCATTCCTGAGGAAGGGAGGAGTGGGCCTCTGGAAAGCCCTGAGCGCAGGATACCCGGCGTGCATCCCCGGCCGCCTCCTGCCCTTTGTGTCTGGCTCCAGTCACTGCACACTCTCCAGTCACTCTCCCTGCTGAGGGAGCTGCAGAAGCCAAAGCCCTTTGCCAGACCTCACAGCGGGGTGCTGGGAGCACAAACACATGAGTGTGCCCTAAAGATGCTCCCAGACCAGGGCCGGGACATAAACAAGGGCACAGCTCATGACGCAGCCTCAGGTGAAGGGGGTCAGGTCAGAACCACCAGCTCCCTGTCCCACCTGCTCAGCACAGCCCCAAGACCGTCCATTTCTGTCAAGTTTTACATTGTTTTTACATCACATTAGCGCACTTGGAGATTCTCCAGGCATTCTGTTGGGTCCCTCTAAGACTCCCAGGCTCAGAGCAGTTAAATGACTTCTCCAGTGTGCCGAGGCAAGAGAGTGCAAAGTCAAGACTAGAATTCTTGTCTTTGGCTCCCAAATCCTCTGAAGAAGTCAGGACGCATGGTTTTTAGATGCCCTGTCGAGTGCCCTGATCCACAGCGAGCCACCGACTGGTGCTAGAGACCCGGCCATCCTGCCAGTACCTGGGTCTTCAGCAGGTGCTGCCTGGCTGCTCGAGGTAGATCAAGGTCAGCCTGATACTCGCTCCTCACAGCGGCTCAGCTCTCCTCCCGCCGATATCATTGGCGACTTCCATGAGTGTAAGAGACTGAGCTGGGTGCCTTAGATCCATAACCTCAAAAGCCTCATCGCACCCCTGCGAAATAGGCTTTACCCCCATCTTGCACACAAGAGAACAGAGCTGCGGAGAGGTTAAGTTGCTTGCTCATAGGCATGCAGCCAGTACGCAGTGGAGCTGCAATCTGAAAGCTCCTACCAATGTTCCTGCTCGAAGAGGGCCACTCTTCCTTCTGATCCTGCAGGTGGACTCCTGTACCCATTCCCCAGGGACTGCTCCCAAGCAATGCTGAATGGAGACACGACCTCTGGCCTCTACACCATTTACCTGAATGGTGATAAGGCCCAGGCTCTGGAAGTCTTCTGCGACATGACCTCTGATGGGGGTGGATGGATCGTGAGTATCGCCAGCTCTCAGGCCTGGGGCCTGGGGCCTGGGGGCAGAGGGCACAGCCCGGGCTGCACTCACACACCAACGTCTGGAGGTTTTGCAAGATAGTGCCTGTCATCCAGAGACGCTCAGGAACCATCTCTGAAACAAAGGAATGGGGAAGAAGCCGGGGATAAAAACCAGGAGAAAATAATTTTCTTGTAATTGATCGGATCCTCAAACAGCTCTGTGATGCATAAAAATGATGGTGGTCGTGGAGCCCATTATGTGGATTAATTAGCATTTGCTATCTACCACGCACTGTGCTAAGAGTTTTATGTGAATTATTTCAATCCCAATACTGTTTGAGCTGGGTAGTATTTTTTTTTAATTAATAAACCTTCTTTTTTTTTTTTTTGAGAGAAAGAGCAAGAGCAGGCAGGAGGGCAGAGGGAGAGGGAGAAGCAGACTCCCTGCTGAGCAAGGAGCCCGATGCAGGACTCGATCCCAGGACCCTGGGATCATGACCTGAGCCGAAGGCGGACACTTAACCGACTAGGCCACCCAGGCGCCCCATAAACTTTATTTTTTAGAGCAGTTTTAGGTTCACAGCCAAAGTGAGCATAAAGTGCAGAGAGTGCCCACATACTCCCTGTCCCACGTGCATGGCCTCTCCCCCTATCAACATCCTACACCACAGTGGTGCATTTAGAACAAGTGATGAGCCGACCTTGACACATCATAATCACCCAAAGCTGGGTGGTATTTTTAATCCCTGTTTTTTAGGTGGAGGTGGCCTGCCCAGAGATACACAGCAAATTAGTGATGGACAGAGCTGGGGACTGGTGCTTTTCCCACAGTTCTGATGTTCTTCCTCTCAGAAAGATGCCTTCTCTTTCTTCCGATAGCTGAAGTGCGCCCTGATTCATTGGTTATGTTCCAGGTGTTCCTGAGACGCAAGAATGGACGTGAGGATTTCTATCGCAACTGGAAAGCCTATGCTGCTGGGTTTGGGGACCGCAGAGAAGAATTCTGGCTTGGTAATGCAGCCCTGCCTGTGTGTGTCCCAAGTGCCCATATCTGCCCTCCTTGTTCCTAACCCACAGCAACCCGTGGGAGAGAAGGCCTAGGAGGAAACAGTAGCTCTGGTAGTAGACATGGAATATCAACTCTTCCATAGAAAAGACTTTAAAGTCCCTAGGTCATTAAAAATAAAAATCTGGTTCAGAGAGAGACCGCAACCAGACCTGAAGAATGAGCCTAGCCTGAAGTCATTCACTGAACCACTTACAGACTCATCCTCACTGATACTATTAACTATTTCCGTCCTGGGCTCCAGGTGCTGAGATGGGCCTTATAGCCATAACCTTGAGCCCCCCAGCACCTATGGAAGGTAGAAAATTCCCTCCTTACACGTGGGAAAAGAGGGATGAAGTCATGTGCTCACAAGAATCTAGCCAATAAGCAGTAGAGCTGCCACTTGAAATCTCCCCAAGCAACACCACAAAGCCATCATCCATCCATCCGTCCGTCCGTCCGTCCGTCCATCTGTCTGTCCATCCATGTAGCTCGTACTTTCCCACAGTCTCCCTGCAGGGGTCACTGTTCCGCGCTCCGGTGCCTGCACTGGGGAATGTCCACCCCGTTAGCGTCCACTGCCTCTCTCCTGCAAGGAGCTGTGGAGGTTAAAAGTGCTTTCTCCACCTTACCTCCTTTGAGCTTCACAATGCCCTAGGAGGTGGGCAGGGCAAAGATGTCGCCCTGATTTTACCTGAGGCTCAGAAACGTCCTATATTTCGCCTGGTGTTGTGCCAACGAGAGCGCAAACGGCCAGACGCGGTCTATGCGAGGCGAGCCTCTTTACAGAGCCCAGCCGCTGCTCCTGCAGGGTGGATGCAGTAGAAGCATCGCCCTCAGTCACTTGTGCTGCTTCTTTAACCCTCGCCTGTCCTCCACAGGGCTGGACAACCTGCACAAAATCACAGCCCAAGGGCAGTACGAGCTGCGGGTGGACCTGCGCGACCACGGGAAGACCGCGTACGCCGTCTACGACAAGTTCAGTGTGGGGGACGCCAAGACCCGCTACAAGCTGAAGGTGGAGGGTTACAGTGGGACCGCAGGTAGGGGACAGCCACACTCCCTGCCTCCGAAACCACAAAAGCGTTCCTTGGGTTTTTAGCTCATTCCTCCCTCATTCCTTCCTTCTCGAATCCATCTGCTTATCAGATCAACAAATATCTGAATCCTTATTAGGTACTAATCCAGAGCTGCAACTGGGCAGAGGGGGGTAGATATTTTGGTCACCAAAACACAGAGTAGGGTTGGGAATCAGAACAATACGTCTTTTTCTTACCCATTTTTAGATATCAACTTTAGATGGATAAACAGTCTTTTGGGAGCCCGAAGACTCACCTAATCCAGTGCATCTAAATTATTTATTCGAATTTTTTGTGTACATATGACCCCCGGGGATCCTGTTAATGGGCTGGTGCAGACACACCAAGATTCTGCATTTCTTACGGGTTCCCTGGAGATGCCACTGTTGGGGATGCTGCTGGTCTGTGGACCACACTTTGAGTAGCAGGCAATCCACTCCATCCCCCAACTGCTTGCATCTTTTCAAAGACATTCCTGCCACGTGGTCATCCAGCCACAGCCCACATACCCCCATGACCAGAAGCTCACTACCTGCCAAGTGGCCCTTCCGGTCCTTGTCTGGTACATGACCTAGCTCAGATCCAGATCTTGCAGATGTCATTGCCTTGAAATGACCTCTGTGTGCTTTTCCGGCTCCACGTTAGAGGAGAAATTAATAAGGAAGCCACACGCATTTAGGCCTATGAGGGAGCATCTCCTTTTGGCGGATATTCCGCAAGCGTTACCCCCTTCCAGTTCTCACGGACACTGTTCCACTGTTGCTATAACACAGATGAGGAAACTGAGACCCAGAAAACCTGGGTGATTTGCCCGAGGTGGACCCAGGGGGCAGGCTTGGTGGCAGACAGGTGTGCTTGGTAACGAGGAGGGACCAGGTCTGACAGTACGACCACTCCTCCCTGCTTTGGGCTGGCGTCCAGTTATGTCTATGAAAACAGAAAAGACAGAAGCTATGGTACATTCCCAGCCTCTCTGAGCCCCGAGAGGAAACATCCATAATAGGGAGAGCCTCCAGAGAAAGATTGGCCATCTAAGCGGAGACCAGGCTCTTTGGAGATCAGTGTGGCTGTGGTGAAGAGAGAGAACCAGGGGCCAACATTGTTTTCATTCTTGCGTCCCGCAAAGAATTCTGACATTTTATTACCTGGCAATAAATATCTGTTTGAGTGAAGTGGCTTCAGGCAAGAAGGTTTTGGTTACCGGGGGTGGGGGTGGGGGGGATCCGGGGGGAGTCACTGAGCAGCGGGAATGCGGCCTCCACCGCCTCTCGGCACTGATTTCCAAAGCCCCCTTACTAAGGTGACCCTGGTAGAGCTGCATCCTCTGGTGGCAGCCAGCTCTCCACAGGAGGGCATCTTGTTTCGTCCATCCCTACCTGCTCTTGGTCACTTCCTCGTTAAAAAGGCATCTGAGACCCTTTGTACCTTGCTTCAAAATATCAGTCCTGCCTTTCCATCTCTGTGCTCCGTTATGTAAAGGAATGTAAAAAAAAAAAAAATGATAAAAGTAACAACAATCACAGCTATTATATAGCATACCCCTCTACCTTCATATCCATTGATGGTCCCAACAGCATACTGAGGTGGATGGGATCAATGTGCTAGTTCCATTTTCTAGAATAGAACAGTGAGGCTCAGCAAGAGGCCTGACGTGGGCCAGGTCACACTAGGGAGTGAAAGCTGGACCCTCAAAGCCACCCACAAGCCTCTTTCTACCACATTGTACTGTTTCCAGCAAAGAAGAGCCCTCGGGGGCGGGGGGATCTCTCATGACCACTCCAGTCCTGTGTTTGATACTAATCCTGGGCCCAGGGTTCAAGGGCAGCCCACCCTCCAGGATCTTTCAGTCGCCACCCCAGTTCTGTCCTTCCGAGCCCACGAGGAAACCGCCCCCCCCCTCACTGGGACTCCTCAGATCCGTATCTCCTCTCCGCAGGTGACTCCATGGCTTACCACAACGGCAGATCCTTCTCCACCTTCGACAAGGACACGGACTCAGCCATCACCAACTGCGCCCTGTCCTACAAGGGGGCTTTCTGGTACAAGAACTGTCACCGTGTCAACCTGATGGGGAGGTACGGGGACAACAACCACAGTCAGGTGAGCCAAGTGCGAGGGTCGGGGGCAGGGCTCAGGAAACCGGTCGCGGGTGACAGGCAGGCACCCCAGCCCGTCGGTCCTGGCTGAGACTAGGGGACAGCAGCCTCTGGGACCTGGTGTCACATCTGTTCCCAGCAAGGAGGAACCTCGGGGACACTGCAGGTCAGGTGAAATCCTCGAGACAGCACATGCTAACCCGTGAATGTCCCCGGGACACCACTGGTCAGGTGGATTCCAAACACAGAAAGCTCTCCTCAGACAGAGCCTTTGTCTGAACTCCAGAAGGAAAGCAGATTCAAGTGGAGGCGTCTAGGTGACGCAGGGATGTAAGTGGGGTGTCTTATGATGTTGCCCCCAGGACGCTTTCACTCTAGCATTACTGTACCACCTTTCTTTCCTCGTCCCCTGCCACCAGAGTGACACAAAGTCCTTCTGGAAAACAAACAAACAAAAACAAAAACTCATGCCCAAAAGGAAACTTCTTTTTCCATCCTCCTCCCCTCCAATGTGGGCGGATGTGAAAGGCCACGAAGGAGATATGGGAGCCCATCCGTGCTCCAGCTTTGCTCCGGCAGCCTTGTGGACTCGATGATGTCACTTTCCCTCTCCAGCCTCCGTCCCCAGCATAGAACAAGGAGGGCTGGCGTCCCACTGGGCGCCTCTGTCCGAGGGAGGATGGGGGGCAGAGGAAGGCAGTGCAGGGACCAAGTACTTCACCAGCACTGAGTAGTTACAGACACATTTGCCCATGGGGTGAGCCAGCCATTCTCACACCCCACCTGCCCGTCAGTCAGAGACTGCCTGCTATCGGTGCCCGCTGAACAATTCTAATAGTAAATCCTCATTTTACCAGCCATTAACTCCTGCATGTCCCCTCCCAGCCCCACGCCGCTTGAAGAGAAGAGGGGTCAGAGAGTGAGGTGGTGGCCTCCTAGGAGCTCTTGCAGAAGTGGACCCCCCTTGAGGCCCTGGTGGGGCAAAGGGCCTTGTCGTTTTCGACGGCAGACTCTACCATCTGTAGACTCTGTGGGAGAGTCAAACAGGGAATTAGGGGGCCCAGACCCAAATATAATCTTTTCTTGAGAAAAAAAAAAAAATCGTTTCCCTATTGGAGATGAGGGAAGTTGTATTTGCTTCACACCTACAATGTGCCCAGCACTATGATTACCCCTTTACAAATTCATTTAATCCTCATAGCATCCTTTCAAGGTTGGCATTATCAGACCCTGAAGGGTGGGGGGCTGGAAGATGGTGAAACTGAGGCCCAGAAAGGTTTGATGACTGGTTCAACACCATTTATGTCTCAAGTAAGAGCCTTAAGATTTAATCCTGTATGTCAGGTTGTAAGATTTGTGTTCTGCCTGTGTTCCTCCTGCCATTCCGGACAAACCCTTATTAAAACACTCCACAAGAATCCTGCGAATTAGAGACTCCCCTGCATCTAGCTAGTCAGTTCTGTAACCTCCAATCATGACCTGAATTCCTTCAGCACCTGTTCCTACTGATGGCAAGTTTCACTAGCCACCATATTGTTTCACGACGGCAGCTCAAAGCTCAATGCAAGTGTAGGTGGCTTCTGACTAAAATTTAAAAAATCGAGTCAGATTCAGCCAGCTCCTTTCCAAGTTCTCACTACACAGATCAACAGACAGATAGGCAAGAGACAGCTGTGAGCTACCAAATGGTCAGGTTCAAACAGAACTCCCTTTGTTCCCGTCGACCAAGCGGTGGTCAGTGAGCACTTTGCCTAGTGGGAACCTATCTGAGGTCTTCTCTTTTTCACAGGGCGTTAACTGGTTCCATTGGAAGGGCCACGAATATTCCATCCAGTTTGCTGAGATGAAGTTGAGACCCAGCAACTTCCGAAATCTCGAAGGCAGGCGCAAGCGGGCATAAATTCCAGGAACGACTAACTGGGTGGGAGAGGAGTAGGGCCCAGAGGAAGAAGCAAATTTTACCAAAGTCTCAGTACAAACCCATCCAACCATCAAGCCACACCCGGGCATTTGGCAGGAGCTAAAGCTGACCGTGGATCATCGGGGCGATGGCAGGAGCGCTGGCCCCACCTACTCTGCAAGTACGTCCTACGCACCAAAGACAACAGTCTCCACAGGTGTCTGCTTGTTGTTTGAATCAGCAAACATCTTCCAGTGATGGTGTCATGGTGGTTGTCCTTCTCTTGGGTGGCTCTGGGAATGGGAGAGGGGTAGGCTGTACAGTGGTAGTTTGTGTTAGAACCAGCTGTATTTTACACAAAGCTGTATGAGTATCATTATTTTTGTTCGCAATGATTCGGTGTGCATCATGGGAGGCCGTCCCCCGCCCCTTTTTTTACATTTCATGCAACAAAAACCAGAAAAGCAATACTGCTCGATTTTAAGGATACGATTAATATTATTAATATAATAAAAACGACGATGAAAACTAAGAATTTTTAAAGAGATCTTCCTTTCCAAAACACATCTGGACAGTACCTGATTGTATGTTGTTGTTGTTGTTTTTTAATAAAAGCACAAGTACTTTTAAATTCGGCTGTTGTTTTTGCCTTTCATTGTTGAGCCTGAATTCCACCAAAGGCAACGTATTTGAACAGAGGGAGGAATGCTGGAAAGGACCGGAAAGGAACAGCGAGGAGGAAGGGAAGAAGGGAGGGGGCGTACACGCTGGGAGAGAAGAAAGAACTTTTTTGAACAAGGCTGAACGAGGTTGGGAAAAAGTTCCCACTTGAGATTCAGCTTCTTGCTCATTATTTTTAAGACTAAGAGTGTGTGATTTCAAAGATGCCTTTGTACCCATCTTCTAGAAATTCCATGATATAGATGAGAAGACAGTTGTTATCCAGCAAGGATTAACATGCCCAGAGGCAGACTAGCTGAGTTCAAATCTTGGCTCCACCATCCCCTTGTTCCCTAATCTCTCTGTGCCTCAGTTTCCCAATCAATAAAGTGGGGATACTCGCACTTCTTAACTGCATAGCATTTCTGCAGAAAAAATAAATATCATCCAGATAAGGCCCTTAACATGGCTCCTGGGGTAGAGTAAGTGCCAATAAGTGTTCGCTGTCTCTACGATCGCTTTATATATGACAGACTGGGGTTCACAGAAGTGCAATGACTTGCCCGCAGGCTACCCACCCAATTAATCATAGAACTAGGATTTCAACTCCAGTCTCTGGCCCGAGTATTCTTGCTCTCCCTCGGGACCCTGATGAAAATCCCTCCTTCCCTGAGGAAATGTGTGCGGTGAGTTGCAGAATGATGGAGTGTGGGGAAGTCCTGCTGGATCCTTCCTACAACCCCAAGATCTTAGAACTAGAAAGAATGTCTGTTAGGAAGATCTCCCCCTCCCCCACTCAGAGCCCCCCTGTCGTGTCCCCCAGCCTCGGCCTGAATGCATCTAGTGGTGGAGGGAACTCACTGCCCAGCACGGCAGATCTGCTCGTACTCGGCAAATACCGAGTTAGAACCACATATTACACATTTGTCTTTGAAAACAGGGTGGGTTGGGGGTGGGGGGAGAGCAATTCCCAGTTAATTCTCTAGGGGATTTTCAGCAAAGGGACTTATTTAATGAAAATGTTTGGGCTGATAGGCCTCATTCAAATGGAATGTGATAGCTCAGACATGAGGATGAGAAGAATTTACGACTCAGGCCAGATCCTTCGCTGCTGAGTTTATCTTGCTTTAGTAAATGCTGTCACGTCATATACACAGTTGGCTGTTCCAGATCATAAGACTCACCCTCTGCAACTCCGCCATAGCAAACTCGCCTTGCTGTGTAAACCTGAGCAGACGTGCTCCTGCAACAACCAAGCCTCAAGTGGGAGGCTTAACCCGCTGCTGACGGTTCCCCTGGGAGGCCCTGCGCCCCGCTGCTGTCCCCTCCCCGCAAATGCAGTCATAACGAAGTGGGTGAGGTTCTTCCCAGAAGCCACACCAGAATCAAATTCCCCATCAAATAGGAGTCCTTAACCCAGGGCGCTGGGAAGGTTGCAGATGCCCCCATGTGGGGATGGGCAGCCAGAAGGACCCGAGCCAAGACGCTCAATGCTGCCCCCATCCTGGTCAAGGCATGAGCTCACAGTCCTCAAAGGAGTTCTTCAGTCGCTGGCTCTGGCTTTGTTCAAGCAACTTCCTCCCTCCTGAAAGGGCTCCTGGAAATTCTACTCCACTGCGGCCTCCCAGGAAGCGCTCCACTCAGAGTGAATTTCCAGGGAGTCTGGCCTTCCCTTTGTCCTTCCTCCATCTGCTCCCCTCCCTTCCCCCCTGCTTGTACCCTTCAAGGCCACCCTGCATGGATTATACCAATGGACCCCCAAGCCCTCAGGCTTCTGGTTGGCTATCAGAATGGGAAGTGCTGGGACAGTGGGGGATGGGGTGGGGGGGGCGGTCAAGGTCCTTATTTTCCAGCCCTACCTCTGTAGCATCACAGGGGGCTGACAGTTTCCCTCCCAGGAGAGGAACAGCGCCTGTCCATTGACCGTGCCCATTCAGCTCTCTGTCCAGGTGTCGGGTAACTGTCCCCCCTTGAGCCCTTCAGGCTCTCCTCCCTGCCTGCACCTTTGGAAACAGTCCCTCTTCTCCTGCCTCTCCCGGGGACCCTGACAGACAGGCCCACTCTCCGGGCACCCCTATTGTCCCTGCCTGCTGGCCTTACACCATTCTTTCCCCTCGGGCCTCCCACCATGGAAGCCACAGGGGAAAATACTCCCTCCTCCTCCCCGTGGGAGCCGGGGCACATACCTCGAGCCCTGCCCAATGGATACCTGCAGAGGGACTTCTAGCCTTGAACAAGGAATGAAAATCAAAGAGCCTAAGAGACTGGCTTCCCCACGGCCACCACAGTGTCTGCCCACACATCCCTGTCCTTCGGGACAATCCATCCCACCTTCTCCCTTTCTCAGCCTGCCCCTCCCATGCCATTCTTCTTCCCACCATTCCTTGCCAACTCCACATACAGGGTGGGGGCCCCTGTGGGCTGTGCTGATTGGCTCTCTTCTCCCCCAGGATTCTCTTTTCGCTTTCTGTTTAAAAGTCAGTGCTGAATGCCCCCCATATGCCCAGCACTAGATGAACAAAATAACCATGGGCCCTGGTCCCTCGAGCAGCTTCCATGCCAGGGGCAGGCTGGCAACAGCCACCACATCGGACAAGCCAACTGAGGGTATGCTTGGGAAGCAAAGCCGAGACACTACAAGAATATCTAACGAGGACCTGACCCTGACCGGGAAGGGTTCCCTGAGAAAGAACATCTGAATCGTGACCTAAACGATAAGTGAGCGTTAATTAGGGAAGAAGGCAGGGGAAGCAGAGGGCAGAGTATCTCTAGAGGCCCTGAGATGGCCCAGCTGTGCAGAAAGCCAGCCAGGAATCCCGTCCTGATGGTTCTTTTGGTCCAGGATAAGGATTTTGATCTTTTTCCCTAAATGCAATGGGAAGCTGCTAAGGAATTCTAAGCAGGGGAGGATTATGATCCTATCTTTTCTCTAAACCATCTTTGTGTTGCAGCCTGCAAGACAGGAGGTGCCACGGGGGCCCAGGGGAAAAGTGATGGGGTTTGAGTAGGTATGTTGTCATGGAGATGGGGCATACGGTTCTGAGAGATGTTTAGAAGGAAAAACCCATAGGACTTGGGGTCCCAGAGAGCTGCTCCACGTCCGCACCCCAGTTCCGGAACTGCTCTCAGCTTTTGCAGGGGGTGTCTTCTAGATGCGACTCCATTGTCTCAGTAGGGGTGTGCGGAGCTGGAGTCAAGGCTCCATGAGCCCCAGGAACCCAGAGGCCTGCAGGGTCCCATAGTACTAAGCATCGCTCCTTGGACTTTGGATGGGGGGGCGGCAATCAGGGAAGCTCCTTGGAGGTTACTGTGGTTAGAATGGGATTAATGCCAAGGCGAGGCTGTGGCAGAAGGCAAAGGGTAAAGGTGGTGGGGGGCCTTGCCCTGAAGGCTTTATGTCCTGTAAGTGCAGCTGAGAGGTGCTGATGGTGTTTAGGGCAGGAGTGACAAAATCAGCATTGCTCTTTGGAAGGCTCACTCCCATAGTAGAAAGGTATTTGCTCCTGCTAGCCTGTCCTCTGGCCTCAGTGGGGTGCTGGACGTCCTCACAGGTGCCCCCCACCACGATTCAGGCACATGTGGTATACTTGTGGCCAGCAGAGGGCTCCCTCCCCTTGTCCTCCTCCCTCCGTGGCCAGCACCGCAAGTGAATTTAAATCTCAGGAAGGAAGTCGGAAAAGGCTCTCCTCTTGAGAATCACTCCAGCCTCACCAAGACTGGAAAATAGATTCTACTGTGTTACAGAAAGAAACACACACAACACACTCAGTCAAAACGAGCAGCTCTGGCTTTAGCCCAGTACCTTTGCAGCTGCAGGTAAAGGAACTGTTTCAGAGCAGTGAAACGACTTCTCTGAGATTCACTTGATCTTGAAGTGCCAGAGCTAGGACTGAAATCTTAGATCTGACCCCTTAGGCCAAGTGCCTGGAGGAGCATCTCTTGGCATATTTATTCCTTTTATCCATTCTTCCATTCGGTACACGAGGAACACCCACCATAAGCTTGTTCCCTCATAACACTTTACAGTTTGCAAAGTCGATGTGAGTATAACTTTTTTTTAAAAAGGTTATTTATTTATTTGAGAGAGAGAATGAGATATAGAGAGCATGAGAGGGGGGAGGGTCAGAGGGAGAAGCAGAGTCCCTGCAGAGCAGGGAGCCCGATGCGGGACTCGATCCCGGGACTCCAGGATCATGACCTGAGCCGAAGGCAGTCGCTTAATCAACTGAGCCACCCAGGCGCCCTGATTATAACTTCTTTAAAGTAATCGTCTTTGCAGTCAGAGCTGAGCTTGAATCCCATTTTCCAATTACCGACTGATCTTGGTTGAGCGGCTTCATTTTTCTGAGTATCCTTAAACATTAGAAATAAGAAGATATACCCTGATGAGAAGTTGTGATGATCTGAAAGAGAAAAATGGACAGCACCTGGCCTGGAGAAAGTGCCAACCACACATTTCTCTCTCTAAAGTGGATAGACAGTAGTTCAAAGCTGAGCATCAGGGTAAAATACTCATGTCAGCCAGCAGATGGCAGTCTCCCCCGGCTTTAGGAGGGCACTCAAGGAAGTGCTCCTAGCGATGTGTTCAGGTGGCTGGAGACCCAGGCTCTTAGAAACCTCCAGGGAAACCTCCACCTTCACTCCAATCTCCTGCTCCATAAGAGGTTCAAATCCCATCCACGGGCAGCGGGGCATGGGGGGCTGTCTCTTCTGTTGTCTCCCCCTCGGCTGCACAAAACCTTACGTGAACAACCACAAACCCTCTTGCTTATCACCTCTTGCAAATGTACACCGGGGTGCAGGGAATAGGAATGTGGGGGACAGGGAGGCAAGGCTTCGGGCCCACATGTCCAATCCCCACACGGATTCCGCAGGACCACCACCCGTCTCCGGAATGTTCAACAGCTTCACTATAGTGATGTGTCCTCACTGACTTACTTTCCATTATGAATCCCTTGTTGTTGGGAGTGA